CTAATCTAAATTTTATCAAAAAATTGGCCGAGGGCCCCACGATATACCTTAGAAATTTTTTCCCCAAGCTTTCCCAAGCAAAAAATAAAAGAGGGGGTTTCAGTGGGCCCCCAAATAAGAAAACTCATGAAGGACAGTTTTTTTGAAAATGAATTGTTACTCATTGAATTAAAAGCATGGGAATCTTTTAAATGGATATGCAGATCGTTCCTTGGCAATCATAAATTAGCCGACTATCGTGAGAAAATTGATGACCTATTAACAAATTATAAGCAAATGGGATGCCGAATGTCCCTCAAAATCCATTTTCTTCATTCCCATAAAGATTTTTTTCCTGAAAACTTAGGTGCTGTGTCAGAAGAAATGGGAGAGCGGTTCCATCAACAGATAGAAAATTTCGAAAAGTTTTATCACGGCAAGAATTTTATAAATATGTTGGCGGACTACTGCTGGAGTATCTTTTTTGAAGATAAATCATCAACTTCATATTCGCGGAAATATATTTAAATTTACCATTAAATGTTTTTAAATTCGATAAATTTTATGTTATTGTTTAATTTGTTTCAAATTCAATAAATTTATTGTATATTACAAGTTAAATCTATATAATAATGAAGGAGGGGGTGGGACAACGGACCGATAAAAGGTTTATTAAAAGTAAAATATGAGATAGGTTAGCTTAGCATAATATATTTATTTAAATATGAGAAATATAACTATTTCATTTAAAATAAATTGTTTGGGAATCGTACCGTGTGCAGTGTAGCGAAGAGAACGAAAGCCACAATAAATATATTAAATGTAAGCTATATTAAAAAAGATTTTATAAATAAAGGTAAATTTAAAAAATATAGGTTGTTTAAAAATTGAGTAAGGATTTTACAAAAAAAAATGTATGATAATAATTAGGAAGGTTTGCTGCAAAAATTAAGATATTTTTTTAGTTATAGGGATCATTAGAACCGAAGTTATAAACCTTCAAAAAGTTAAAAATGACCTTTTTGGCCACTTTAACCTAAAATAAATAAAAGAACCTGACGTGCTAGAAAAAAATTAACAGAGGATTTAGAATATGCATAAAAAACTGTCTTAAAACATGTTTATTTTATTTTCTCCCAAAAAGTCGAAATTTGTCACACAGTGTAATTGTCATTTAGTTATGGTCATCATCATTTAATTTTTAATTTAACATGTTTGCAATCTATATTTTTACCCATTTGCATCAAAAAACTTTAAAAATAACGATTATGACAATTGTCATTTATCTATGGTTCATCTTCACTGAAATTTTATTTTAACATGTTAGCAATTTATATTTTATTTTTGCCCATTTGCGTCTTAAAAATAACGATTATGACAATTGTCACACCCATTTGCTTCAAAAAAATTTTAAAAACTTCAAAAATAACGATTATGATAATTGTCACGTATCTAGGGTACATCTTCGCTAAAGTTTTATTTAAACATGTTAGCTATACTTATTTTAGCCCATTTACGTCAAAAAAACTATAAAAATAACGATTATGACAATTGTCACATTTATATAGTACATCTTAATTCAAATTATAATTCAACATGTTAAAAATACATATTTTTGCCTATTAACGTCAAAAAAATCTAATATGTTTAAAAATACCGATTATAATAATTGTCATTTTTCCAAGGAACATCTTCATTGAATTTATAATTTAACATCTTTACAAATATAAATTATATTTTTACCCTTTTGTGTCAAAAAATCTTAAAAAATAACGAATATGACAATTGTCACACTAAAATATTTTCATTAAAAAGATCATATAAAATATTATAAAAAAATTCAATATAAATATTAAAAAAAGATTATTTTACAAAAATTATAAAAAAAAATTATAAAGATTTCACCTAAAAGATTGTTTATTTATAATTAAAATTCACAAAAGAATTCCTCGAAAATCTTTTTGAACTTCAAAAAAAAATTTTTGCTTAAAATTTTGGTCGTGAAAATCACTAATAAATAGTAACAAAAATAATATTACAATAGCAACATATCATTTTTTATTATTAAAAACATCAAATTCATTTCATCTATAATATATATAAAAGCCTTGTCACAAAAATAGCGTTACGCTCTCATGTCCCACTTTATAATATATATTCAAAAAATCGTTAATTTTGAAAAGTGCCTGTGGCCCAATCGGGCAAGAACTTCGCCTACAAATCTAGATGGATTATTGGACTTGGGTTCGAATCCCGGCTAATGTATTTTTTCTTAATTTGGCAAAATATTTTTTTCTTAATCTGACAAAATTAATCAAATAGATACGTTTCAAAGAGTACGAGATTTATTTAAATACTTTTTTAATTCTTGAATTTATGTATAATTTAAAATTTAAACCATTATATGGGGAATCAGAATTTTCTATTTTATTTGATGAGGGATGAATCAGAATTTTCTATTTTATTTGATGAGGGATGAATCAGAAATTTTTCTATCTTATGAGGTGTTATTTAAAAATTTATATTTATTTAGGGTTATTCTAAAATTTTCCATTATTTTTATAAAATATGTTAATAAAGTATATATTTAGTAATTTTAATTTATGTGTACAATTAAAAAAGTCCTTTAAATAAATTTTTATTCATTTGTATTTTATAATCTAAAAATTTATTCTTGCAGATGAGAGTTTTATGTTAAAACCCTTAAGAAGGATCCATTCCACATTGAATTTTATACAACTTTATATCTTTTAATTAGGTAATTTTTATGCATAAGTAAATATTTGCATCTCTTTTATCTTTTCTGAAATTGGCCTTTCTACATGCATTCCATAGTTTTGTTTATTTTCTCATAACTTCATAATTTAATTGTAGAATGTATATTTTTCATAACTTTATATAACATTTTTGATTAAATGTATAACTTTTTTGTTTAACTTATATATAATTTGACTATGATTAAAGTTAACCTCCTATTATTTGTTAACTTAGAATATCTTTTTATTTTTTCTATTGTAATTTAATAACAATGTCTTAAATTTATATTTTGTAACTAAGTAATAAATCATTTGGAAGGGTGGTGGTTTGTTTAAAATTTAAATTAGAATGAACATATTTTTAGCATGGTACTTTAATATGTATTCATGATTTATATGTAAATACCAGGCAGGAGCTAACCAGTAGAATGATAGGTAAATCAGATATTTCCCCTTCATTTGATCCTAATTTTGAAAAATTTTCCCAATAATATAAATGGCAAAAAAAATATATACATATTAGACAGATTTAATTCTTATAAACCCTTACATCACACCTATTTTTTTGGATCCAAGGAAAAAATAAATTATTCTGGGTTTTCCTGGGTTTGGGAAATATTTTTCACAATTAATATGGACTTGGAAATAGCTTGGGAAACATTTTTTAAAATTGTCTTAGATTACTGAAAATTTTTTAATTTTAAATATGGGTTAGAAATTGGCCTGAAAATTTCTTTTGGAGACATGGCCAGGCCTGATCAAATACAAAGGCCCATGCAACTTTCATATTCTGATTGTATTTTTAAATGCATTGTGACTTTTTATATATTTTATTTCAGTTCTCAACTATCAAAATTATTATGATCTTTTTGAGAAAATTTTCCCAAGTGCGTGGACCTGGCTTGTGAATTTTTTTAATATTAGGCATAGGTGTAATATTTAACACAGAATATTTATATGGCCCTCAGGTTCAGCTAATTTAAATATATTTTTATAAAATTAGTATTCATTCTCAGTCTTAATAAAATAGAATAAAAAAATAGATATGGTTTTTAAAGATCTACCTATCTCCCGGGTTGGGAAAAAATTTTGAAAATTACTATGGGTTGGCCAGGCTTGGGAAAATTTTTTTTATAAAATTTTTATAGGTTGGGCTGGGTTTGAAAAATATTTTTATAAATTATATTAGGCTGGGCTTGTGGAAAATTTTTCAAAAATATTATGAGCTAGAATGCTTGAGAATTTTTTTATTATTAACTATGAGTCAGACATTGGCCTAAAAAAATTTTATGCAGGTCTGGGCTCGGCCTGATCAAAAAACCTAGGCCCATGAAATCTGATTTTTGATTGTATTTTTAATATTATGATTATTTAAATATTTTATTTCAGTTCTCAACACCAAAATTATTATATTCACTGGGCTTGGAAGAATTTTTCAAAATTATTATGGCTCTGTACTTTGCCTAGGAATTTTTTTAATATTAAATATTAGGTATAAATGATCAGTAATATTTATCAAATAATATTGGTATTATCAAGTAAAAGCTTTAAATTTAATTTTACCAAACCATAATATTTACATTTAGTTTTAATGGATTAAACCTGGCATGAAGGGGGGGGGGATTAAAAGAATAATAATTGGATATTATTTTCAAATAAGAGGTAACAATTATCATAAAAGTAAGAAGAAAATTTTCATTCCCCGTCATTTTTGACGGGCTATCTTCTAGTAATATAATAATTTAAATAAAAAATATTAATTCTTATAAATATGTTTATTTGTTGATAATAAGATAAATTATTTTATTAAAAATAAATAATAATTAATTCTATCCATATCTTACGGAACACTGACGGACGATTAGCCGATGCAGAATTTTAAACTAATTTAGTTTTAGCCGATTACGCAACACTCCTCATTAGTAAACTCGATGGGAATGGGAAATATGTTTTATACTAAATAAAATAATATTTTAATCATTTCGTAGTTACTTCTGCAAAACCTATTAAATTTCATACTCCCCATATGTTAACAAAAAATTATGAAATAAGCAGTTGCAAAAGGCTCACAATGTATCCTATATTTTTAACACTGGGAATAGAAATCTGGTTGGGTTCACAGTAGCAATTTTTCACTCCATCCGAGTTTATAATAACTAGGCTTTACTAATATAAAATTTTAATAGATAAATTTTTTTGAATTCAATTTAGATAAAATTTAATTTGTTAATTTTTTTCTCCCGTTTAATTATTTTTTAAATGCAGGCCGTAGCTTACCGTCAAATGTCACTATTACTCCGTCGACCTCCAGGTCGGGAAGCTTATCCAGGAGACGTTTTCTATTTACATTCACGCTTACTGGAGCGGGCCGCAAAAATGAGGGACAGTCCAGATGGAAAAACTAAAGGGGGTTCCCTAACCGCTTTACCAGTCATAGAAACCCAAGCAGGTGATGTTAGTGCTTACATACCTACTAACGTTATCAGCATAACAGACGGGCAGATTTTCTTGGAGACTGAGCTCTTTTATAAAGGTTTATTTTGAATTTAAGCCATCCTAGAGTTTAGCAGATTTAAGTTAAATATTTTAAAGATGCTTGCATTGGAATATTGGGCTAGATGAATAATTTTTATTTGATAAAAAAATTGATAATGTGGATTTGTTTTTTTTATAAAAGAAATGCTTTACTTATGATTTTTTTTATTTTTAATCATATGGAATATAAAATTTATTAAGATCAAGATTGTCTTAATTCGTGAATGAATATTAAGGCACGAACTGAAATTTTACTAACGATTCTAATAATATTATTTGATATTTTTTAGAGAGAAAAATTTTTGTTAGTTATTGGCTATCTTCTAGATAAAAAAGTTAAGAGCTAATTATTAAAAATCCATCTTTTAAATTATATTCTGACTTCAAGTTTTTTGTTCTTCCTTGCTTTTAGGAGAGATTATTATCTTAAATAATCAGGGTTGGGCAAATTTCCAAAAAATGTATTCAAATATGAATATAAATACATTAAAAAAAATAAATACATTCAAAATAAGTATTTTTAAATACAAATACTTTGACAAATTTTGCAAGATAATTTTTTTATTATTTTGCATTTTATAAATGTATCTAATATCTATAGATCATCATCTTACTGTGCATATAATAAATTGCTTAGGGATAAAATCGCTCCATTTATGATTTTGGTTTTATTTTTAATTGAACAAGATATCACATTTCGCTTACACTATAATATTGATTTTTGATGATATTTTAAATAAAAATCCATCCAAAATTGTCAAATTATATACAGAGGATGTTGACGTTATCATAGAATATCAGCAAAACAATCATATATAATAGCTTAATATAGAATTTTTTTCTTCAATTACTAACTCTTATATCTTTAAAAACTCTTATTTTCGTTTTCGTCTTTAATCATTTTAAAAATAGGATAGGATTTAAAAATGAAGTTAATTTTTTGCTAAAACGTTTCTAAAATATACAAATAAAAGTATTTGTATTTATTATTTTAAATACAAGTATTGCCCAACCCTGCATATAATCATTTATTTTTAATCAAATAATATCCAAACAAATATTTAAATTTTTTTGATAATACTCTATACAATGTACATGAAATATATTAATTATTTTGGTAATTAATAAAGTATAAAAAGTGAACCATAATTTTTTATTATTCTTGTATCTTATAATTAGTGTTTTAAATAGCAGAGTTGTTAAAAAAGCGTGCTACCCTATTTTATATCGATAGTTAATGTTGAAGAATAATTATAACATAACTTCGTTACTTTTCAATTAAATATAATGAAAATTAGTTTATAATTTCATAATTGCATGTAAAATTTAATTTTGATATTTAAATATATTTCTTAACAAATTTTGGTTGTCTTCAAGTTTATCGGGGAAAAATTAACTTTCCTTAATAATATTAATACTTAAAAGATTAGTTTAAAAAATCCTTAGAAAATATTATCAATTCAACCAAAATTATAATTAAAACTATAAATTTCAAAAAGAAATTTATCCCTAAATTTGCTGTACCTTCCGTATCTGTGTATGTTTGTCCATAAACTGGATATTACAATTCCATTACGAAATAGATAAAATAGATTTTTATCAATTTATAAACATATTTAAATGTTACACGTGAACTCAAACTTTTATATATTTAAATATTCAAAATTTGTTTTTTATTGATCTGAAATATTAAAATGTCTGAAATAGATATGGCTGAGACCAGTGATATAAGCGAAATTACACTGGATGAAGATGAGTTTTTAAGAATATATGTTCTATATCCATCTAATCAGAATAAAGATAAAATCATACCTTTTTTCATTTTCCAGTATGTTTATCATGTTAGGTTTTATGTCCATGATATTTTCATTTTGATATTTAAAAGATATAAAGCCAAGTATATTATAGTTAAATATAGAAGTAAGTCTACGTCTATCCCTATTGAAAATATGACAGGTAAATTTACTTATTTCATATAATGCTGGAAAAAGTGGATATTGCACTACAAACCTCAGCCGAGGATAAATATAGAAAAAATAGTGGTAGCACGCTATATACCAAAATTAGCGTCTAATAACACTGCTAAGTCGTTAACTGTCTCAACGAAAACTGATAACCTTGGATTAAAATGCTATAAATATTTTCAATATTACTTATTTTCATGGATTATTAGATTTATTGAATTTTAAGTAATACGTTATATTAAAGCAAAAAATTATTTCTTTTTTTTATTATAAATATTGGAAAGGTATAAGACCGGCGATTAATGTGGGCTTATCTGTTAGTAGGGTTGGGTCAGCGGCTCAAACCAAGTCTATGAAACAAGTAAATCTTATATTTTGTTATTTCTTTAAAACCTTATTAAAGTATATAGTTATGGCTTTTAAATTTTAAATCAATTAATGCGTTTAAGAACCCCCTTTAACTCCTGAACATATTTACACATGTTTATTGGACTTTTCATGTTGTATCAAAAGTTTGCATTGAGATATATTATTCGATCCATGAGTTTTTACTTTTGTTTATTTATTAATGATCCATTATTTTTATTTTTTTATAATTTCATATTTATAAATATTGGTAGTTAAAATTTTGTGATATTAATATAAAAAGTATATCATAAATTGATTTTATCATTTATTCAGTTTTTTCCTTGTTCTATTATCTTATAAATTTTATAGCATTTTATCTTTCTTAGGTTTAATATTCATATAAAACTCGAATTTACATTAGGTAGCTGGATCGATGAAGCTAGAGCTCGCTCAATATAGAGAGGTCGCAGCTTTTGCACAATTTGGCTCTGATCTTGACGCTTCGACACAACAGTTACTTAATCGAGGTGTGCGACTCACTGAATTGCTAAAACAGGGACAATATGGTAAAACATTTTATTTTAGAATACAGACTAAATTTGCCCACTTCCTTTTGGAACTCTATGCTTTAATGGACAATATGTTTAAAGATCATATGATAGAATATAGCTAATAAAACATTCGGAAAGCGGAAGAAAGGGAAGATTTCAATATAAATATTTTGTCTGATTGTTCATTATTTCTGTACTGTTTTAAATATAATCCGGTACACATAAAAAACATTAAATACTTATTGTCCTTTAGCCATTTCAGAATAATAATAATAAAAAGTGGATGGAATTCAATATGAAAATTACCATGTGAGATTTGATGACATAATAATATTTATAGCAGATATATCCTTAGTTTAGGTGTTTTAAAAATCACATGATTTGATAATATAATTTATATAAAAAAGAATATTGAAAAATTTTTTTTTAAACGATTTTGGAAAGTGACATATATTATAACACTAAGCTGAAATCAATGCATTAATAACTGAACTAATGCTAATGAAAGCTGTTCGCCTTTTAATTATTCTTAATAATATTAAGGTGGAAATTAAATATCTTATATTTTTGTTTATATTTAAACTCTCAATTAAAAAATGGCATCTTTCATATCAGGATATTCAATAGGACTCACTGATATTATAAATAATTGCAAATTCAAGGTTTCTGAAATAAATATTTAATATAGTTATAAAAGATTTCCACCAATTTAAAAAAACTAATTTATTCATTTTAAAAAAAATTAAATGCTTGAATTAAAAAAATATTTCTATAGAATTTATCTAGAAGGAAAAATGAAAATACTCTTTTAGCATGACTGAATTTGATACGAGTGGTTGTATGGGTCATAACTTACTCCCATTTTAAAAATATTGTATCTCACTTAAATTTTTATATTATTGATATTTTAAACATTCTATAACTTTTAAATTAATTATAAATATAAACTTTTGAAGATTTAATATTAAATAAAAATTATGTTAAATCCTATATTTCAAATAATGTATTAAGAGTCAAAATATACATTTTTTTATATCTTAAAAACCATTCATTGAAAATGCATGAAACTTTGCCTAAACAAATTAAGTATAAAATAGGAGGCTACTGAAAATACCAGGTCAAAATATTGATAAGTTTTTTATATTGGTAACTTAAAGAAATTTTTGAGCTATTACTATGACCCAATATACCACATTTTATCAATAGCTAAGATTTAATAAGAATGGAAGGAAATTAATCAAAAGAAAGAAGAAAATTTATACAGATTTAGATTTAATCAAATGTATATTTATAATTTCTAGTCCCCATGGCCATAGAAGATCAAGTCGCTATAATATACACTGGTGTCAAGGGATTCATCGATAAGCTAGACCCTTCAAAAATAACCAAGTTCGAACGGGAATTCAGTGCCCACTTTAAGAGTGTTCACTCAGATTTGCTTAAAAGGATCAAGGAGGAAGGAAAGATAGCAGATGATGTAGATGCGGCTATGCGTAAGATAGTATCTGAATTTGTGGCTCAATTTACGGCTAGCGAAGCTGTTATTACTAAAAGTGCTAAAGCTGGAGCTGAGAAAACCGAAGCTAAGCCTTAAACTTAGGGTCGCCAATTATGCTATTGTACTTTACTATATTCACATTTTGCGTTTTAATCTAATTATCAACGAAGGTTAGTTAGTGTTCATTTAAATTATGATTATTAATTTATTAAGGTCTAAATTTAAAACCACATGAACTAACTTCACCAAAATTAAAATACCACGTATGGATCGTGTGACTTGTTTGATAAATAAATTTTATATTATTCATTAACTATGGTAATGTTAAGAATCATATTTAACTCAGATTTTAATATGATATTAGAATACAATTATTTATTTTTTAACTGCCATATTTTATGCATTTTTTACTTATATTTTTGAACAATAAAAGTATTACTATTATATACCACTTGCATTTTCTGTGAAATTATATGCCCGATTATAAATGTGACTAGAAAATTTATGTATAATATTATAATTTAATCTTTTATATTATATATATAATTTATACAATGATCATTTCAAAAGAGAACTAATTTTTGTTTGAGTTTGCACTGAAAAAAATGGCACACATTCTATAAGTTCTATTGAATGACAAATAATATATCTTGAATAATTAAAGTGAGCAACTATATATTTTGCATACTAAAATTAAAATATTTTTCTTTGTATAAAATTATTTTAAACCTTTTTACTTTTTACCAAGTACGAGATAAAGCTTATTGATGAAGGAAATTTTTTTAGGACTGAGTAATTTGAATATTTAATTTTTTTTATAGAATATTTTTCTTCCGCCCAATATTATTTAAAATGTAAATTAATCACTAAAAAATTTATATTAATAATGTGCAATTGATATTTTCAACAAAAATTATTAGGACTTAGAGATATAGGATTATAAAAGTATCAAATATTCTGGAAGTATATTTTAAAATCAAGAATAAAATGTATAACAGTAATCCTTAAAAAATATTTTCATGTTTTTCGGAGATTTTCTTGTTTTGACTGAATGGAAAAACTAGGGTATAGAAAATACTTATTTTGGAAAAGTATTAAATATCTTTTTCACGTTTAATATAGCATGTTTAGGTAAATTGAATTTAAGGAATATCAGCTTGATCGATGTCTCTGTAATATGACATGACGCATAAAAGGCAATAAATCTGATTTAAAATATATATAAGTAGTATTTGATTAAATGTATTTTTTTCCTTGACAATAGCTAATAGAAGTTTTCGTTCATTTGAAGAGGAAAAAAAAATTTCTTAAAAAACTGCACTAATTTTGTATATAATAGAACTTTCCATATTTTTGCTCAACATTAGAGAAATTAATACTAATTTTAATTAGTAACTTCACTATTGTTAATATTTTCTAAATAACTTTTCTATAACAACTTTAAACTGTTTCCTTATCGTGAACTACTGTATTGAAATAAATTATTTTAACTATAAAAGGAAAATTTTTCGTTTATTAAAAAATATTTGGCTTCATCATAACAGATTTTGAGTAACTTGAAAAATATTAAGTTATTGATTGCTTGAATTCCCTATGAGAGTGCTTAAGCCAATAATAAAATAATATAAATTATTCTCATTTCCAGCTACAAAAAAAAATAAGATAACTTTTGAAAGCCATAGTGGGGGAGACCGGGACAAAACGATTGGTATTTTGCATTTTTACCATCAAATTTCGCAAATTACAGATTTATCTAAATCCCTCATTTACAAAATAAAAACAGGTGAAGCTACCTATAAAATTTTACCATAAGGTGATTTTTATAATTTATGAGTAAAAAATGTTTTTTTGGTAAAATGAGTTAAATCTGGAAAGTTTTTCAAAAGATGAACATAAAGATATATAAATATATCTTCACCAAATTTACGGTTAAGGGTTAAAGAGCTATCGTATTACCCCGGTCTCTTATGAAAAGATTTTACTTTACCAAAATAAAGCACATGATCAAATTTGCTATCCCGGTGCCAAGCATTTGAACTATAGAATTCTTAAATTATTTTGATCAAAAATATAGTTATAGCAAAATTTTAATAAATTTCAAATGATAAAATCATATTTTTTAAAAAAGCATTTGTTTTTATTTTTCAAATGTAAAGTTTTTTTATGAGAGAATTTTAAAAAATGTGAAAATTACTCTTTCATAGGCCTATCCAAGAGGTGGTATAACCCTGATTAACAAATTTTTAAATTTTCTTTAATATCATTTTTGTAATAAAAAGCATCCCCTTCCATACTCGTCATAAAATTAATATTATTTAAACAATTTCTAAAAGGGAATTTTATTAAAACTTAAGAAGGGTAGGTGTTGAGCGGGGTTCTAAATTTGGCTTGGCCTTTTTTTCAATAAATTCTGGCTTAGATTTCCCTATTAAGCAAATTTGGCTTGGATTTCATGTTCTGCTAATTTTATTTTGGATTTCCTTCTCTATAATGCGTAGAGGGGGGGGGGCAATAATATCATTCGCTTAGAAAATATAGAAGTGCCTGCCTTTTGTTAATCGGGTTTCTTTATTTATTTAGTTACAGATATATTTATTAATTTAAAGGGCACTATTTCATTTTAAAGAATGCTTAGTTAACTTTAAATGCTTAAAGGATACTAAATAGTAATTAGAATTAATTATTTAAAAAATGATTATAAATATTTGATAATATATTTACGCCTAGTGCTAGGTTTGAAATGGAGGAGAAAAGAATTATCATGATAAGAATAGGAAGGGATAGCATCCAGGGCCAGAAATACTTTTTGATTCTCTGTGTAAAAAGATATAATAAAATATATTTTAAAAAAAATCAAACTGATAATTTGTGATAGTTGCAAATGTTTAAGGGTGTAAAGTTAAAATTTCACTTTATAGCATCTTAATCCCTTCTTTAAAAAGAGCTTTAGAAATGGGATCTCAAAGTAACTTGACTATTAAATTTAAAAAGTTGTGTTGAAAGGTAGAGATAAAATATGTATATGTTAGCGGCAATATGAAATGTGAGGTAGTGGTAGGCAAGGTAATTTTGTTATTTTAGTCACAATATGTTAACAATTAAAAATAAAAAAAAAGTTAGGGCCTATCATTTAGACAGAATTTTTAAAAAAACATTATTTCATAAGTATTCATTAAATGAAGATATTTTTGATCAATTTAAGCCATATAAAGAGTCATAACTCCTAGACCCTTTTTCATCCCAGGCTAGGATTTGGCACAAATATAAAGCAGTGTTATATCTATCTACAGAAAAAAAATTTCGAAAAAAAAAATACCATTTTTTTTCTATGGCCATTTCCGGTTTTATACATCCGGTTTTGGACATTCATCAAATTTATATCATATTTATTTTTATGTCATATTAAAGAACTATTATTAAGCTACATAATAAAATTTAAATTATTTTTCTAACTTAATTATTTCTTGAGATATTTGAAAATAAATGAGGCACTTTTTGTCAAAAATGTACCATTTTTCCGCGCTTTAAACGCCCATATCTTAGCGGGTAAACCTTTTTGGGAGGTAAAATTTCATTTTTTTCTTAGTTATAGTATATACTACCAGTATGCAAAATTTAAAAAAAATTGAAAGGGGTCGGGTTGAAACCTTGGTTGATTTGATATGGAATTCACCATATATATTATATATTTATTTTTTTTATATTTAATTTTTAATATATCCATTTTAATATATATTTTTTAATCCTCTGTAATTTAATGATTATGAATAAATAATAAAGTTACGATTATATATCTTTTGATCGCTAATTTTTTTAACTTTTGTGTTATAGGATTTTTTTAATAAATTTTTTTGATTGATATTTTTTAATATATTATTTTAATAAATTTTTTTAAATATATTTTTTTGATTGATATTTTTTAATATATATTTTTAAAATGATTAATATATATTTATATTTTACTTATTTTTGATAGATCGTTATTTTTAAACTTTTTTGAGTTTTTTTAAGGTATATAGGTAAAAATATGTTTTGTAAACATGTTAAATTAATATTTCAGTGAAAGTGTCTTATAGAAAAGTGACAATTGTCATAATCGTTATTTTTGAACTTTTTTGAGTTTTTTTAAGGTAAATAGGTAAAAATATGTTTTGTAAACATGTTAAATTCATATTTCATTGAAAGTGTACTAGAAAAAAGTGACAATTGTCATAATCGTTATTTTTAAATTTTTTTGAGTTTTTTTAAGGTAAATAGGTAAAAAATATGTTTTGTAAACGTTAAACTAATATTTCAGTGAAAGTGTACTATAGAAAAGTGGCAATTGTCATAATCATAATTTTTGAACTTTTTTGAGTTTTTTTAAGGTAAATAGGTAAAAATATGTTTTGTAAACGTTAAATTAAAATTTCAGTTTGGATATGTTTTATATTTTTAAGTCACTAACAGTAATATCAACAATAAAATTCCTAAATTCGCTTTTATTTATATATTCAAAATTAATGATGAGTTATTTTCCTGCTAATCGTCATTCCTTGATTTGATTAAACTCGAGATTTTATTAATAATACATTAATCACTTCAAATGATAATAAATTCCACTATTATGATTAAACTTTAATCTTCATAGCATTCGGAAATGTTTTTTTAACATAATTTATGATATTAGGCCGATATAAGATTAAAATAATTGTAAGATTAATTTATTTTTCCCCAAAATGTTAACTACGAAATATATTAAATATAGAATCCTGATCGATTATTTATATATCAATTAACTATAATATCTTTGACTTATTTATTTCAATTCTGTGAGTAAATACACTTTAAATATTTATTCACTTTAGTGAACGATCTGAAATTACAAGTTAGAGCTACTATAAATCTATCAAAATATTAAATAGCTTTTCGAAAATGAATATAATTACGAAATTAATTTTATCATTTTCAAAGTTAGCCCTCATATTTATATTTATTTTAAACAATTACTAAGATTATACGCCAAATATAGTTTATCTAAGTTTTTTTTCGAGAAATGAAGGCCTTTGGATAATTTTTTTTACTATATTTTATTGAATTATGCTAGGCTCTCTCTTTGAAAGCCTTTGGCCAATTTATGTTTTAAATTTTCATCGGGTTTATAATTTTTTTTTATAATATTTCTCACAAATTTTATAAGGTCATTATTTTTATTCATTTTTTTATATTTTTGTGACATCATATACGCACTTTTAGTTATTTGATAGGGGTAAATTCTTTATTATTTTAAATAAAATTTACCAAATCAGACACATTTGGTAAAATGAGTGGGAATTTTTTCTTCCCCCCCCCTATCATATTTATATGCTTCTTAATATTCATGCTACAAATAAAAAATGTCAAAATAAATGATAATTTTATATTTATATTGAATTATATTGATAATAAAAAAATGAGTTGTAAATATTGTTTTTTCTATTGTGAAGAAACAAAATCTTACAAGATCTTATAGGGAAGGCTTGCTACCAGATTTCCGTTAATAATATAGCGTAAAAATATTTTTTAATAATATTAAGAAACATATAAATATGATAGGGGGGGGAGAAGACCACCCATTTTACCAAATGTGTCTGATTTGGTAAATTTTATTTAAAATAATAAAGTATTTACCCCTATCAAATAACTAAAAGTGCGTATATGATTAACAAAAATATAAAAAAATGAATAAAAATAATGACCTTATAAAATTTGTAAGAAATATTTTTAAAAAAAAAGATTATAAACCAGAGGAAAATTTAAAACATAAATTGGCCAAAGGCCTTCAAAGAGAGAGCCTAGCATAGTGTAATAAAATATAGTAAAAAAATTTATCCAAATGCATTCATTTCTCGAAAAAAACTTAGATAAACTTAGAATATTTGGTGTATAATCTTAGTAATTGTTTAAAATAAATATAAATATGAGGGCTAACTTTGAAAATGCTAAAATTAATTTCGTAATTATATTCATTTTTGAAAATCTAATTAATAATTTGATAGATTTAATTTTCAATAGTAGCTCTAACTTGTAATTTCAGATCGTTCACTAAAGTGAATAAATATTTAAAATGTATTTACTAACAGAATTGAAATAAATGAGTCAAAGATATTATAGTTAATTGATATACAAATAACCGATGCATAAATATATTTCGTAGTTATCATTTTAGGAAAAAATAAATTAATCTTACGAAATCTTAATTTAACATGTTTACAAAACATGTTTTTACATATTTACCTTAAAAAATCTCAAAAAAGTTCAAAAATTTATGACAATTGTCACTTTCTATAGTACACTTTCACTGAAATATTAATTTAACATGTTTATAAAACATATTTTTATCCATTTACTTTAAAAAAACTCAAAAAAGTTCAAGAATAACGGTTATGACAATTGTCACTTTTCCATAGAACATTTTCACTGAAATATTAATTTAACATGTTAACAAAACATATTTTTACCCATTTACTTTAAAAAAACTCAAAAAAGTTTAAAAAAAACGATTATGACAATTGTCACTTTCTATAGTACACTTTCACTGAAATATTAATTTAACATGTTTACAAAACATATTTTTACCTATTTACTTTAAAAAAACTCAAAAAAGTTTAAAAATAAGGATTATGACAATTGTCACTTTCTATAGTACACTTTCACTGAAATATTAATTTAACATGTTTACAAAACATATTTTTATCCATTTACTTTAAAAAAACTCAAAAAAGTTTAAAACTAACGATTATGACAATTGTCACTTTTCTATAGTACACTTTCACTGAAATATTAATTTAAAATATTTACAAAACATATTTTTACCCATTTACTTTAAAAAAATTTAAAAAAGTTTAAAAATAACGATTATGACAATTGTCACTTTTCTATAGTACACTTTCAATGAAATATTAATTTAACATGTTTACAAAACATATTTTTACCTATTTACTTTAAAAAAAACTTCAAAAATAACGATTATGACAATTGTCACTTTTCTATAGCACACTTTCACTGAAATATTAATTTAACATGTTTACAAAACATATTTTTACCCATTTACTTTAAAAAAACTCAAAAAAGTTTAAAAATAACGATTATTACAATTGTCTCTTTTCTATAATACACTTTCACTGAAATATTAATTTAACATGTTTACAAAACATATTTTTACCTATTTATTTTAAAAAAAGTTCAAAAATAACGATTATACAATGGTCACTTTTCTATAGTACACTTTCACTGAAATATTAATTTAACATGTTTACAAAACATATTTTTACCCATTTACTTTAAAAAAACTCAAAAAAGTTTAAAAATAACGATTATGACAATTGTCACTTTTCTATAGTACACTTTCAATAAAATATTAATTTAACATGTTTACAAAACATATTTTAACCTATTTACTTTGAAAAAAGTTTAAAAATAACGATTATGACAATTGTCACTTTTCTATAGTACACTTTCACTGAAATATTAATTTAACATGTTTACAAAACATATTTTTACCCATTTACTTTAAAAAAACTCAAAAAAGTTTAAAAATAACGATTATTACAATTGTCTCTTTTCTATAATACACTTTCACTGAAATATTAATTTAACATGTTTACAAAACATATTTTTACCTATTTATTTTAAAAAAAGTTCAAAAATAACGATTATGACAATGGTCACTTTTCTATAGTACACTTTCACTGAAATATTAATTTAACATGTTTACAAAACATATTTTTACCCATTTACTTTAAAAAAACTCAAAAAAGTTTAAAAATAACGATTATGACAATTGTCACTTTTCTATAGTACACTTTCAATAAAATATTAATTTAACATGTTTACAAAACATATTTTAACCTATTTACTTTGAAAAAAGTTTAAAAATAACGATTATCACAATTGTCACTTTTCTATAGTACACTTTCACTGAAATATTAATTTAACATGTTTACAAAACATATTTTTACCCATTTACTTTAAAAAAACTCAAAAAAGTTTAAAAATAACGATTATGACAATTGTCACTTTTCTATGTACACTTTCACTAAAATATTGATTTAACATGTTTACAAATACTATTTTTATCTATTTACCTTTAAAAAAAACTTCAAAAATAACGATTATGGCAATTGTCACTTTTCTATAGTACACTTTCACTGAATATTAATTTAACATGTTTACAAAACATATTTTTACCCATTTACTTTAAAAAAAAACTTAAAAAAGTTTAATAATAACGATTATGACAATTGTCACTTTTCTATAGTACACTTTCACTGAAATATTAATTTAACATATTTACAAAACATATTTTTATCTATTAAACTTTTAAAAAACTCAAAAAAGTTTAAAAATAAAGATTATGAATTGCCACTTTTATCTAAAAAATTATCTATCAAAAGATATATAATAGATAAAATTAAGTAAAATATAAATATATAAAAATCATTTTAAAATTATATATTAAAAAAAATACCAATCAAAAAAATATATTTAAAAAAATTTATTAAAAAAATCATATAACACAAAAAATAAAAAAAATTAGCGATCAAAAGATATATCAAGTAAAAAAAATATATTTAAAAAAAAATATCAATCAAAAAAATATATTGAAAAATATATATATATATTTAAAAAAAAAATAAAAAATAATAAAAAAATATATCATATAACACAAAAAATAAAAAAAATTAGCGATCAAAAGATATATCAAGTAAAAAAATTATATTTAAAAAAAAATATCAATCAAAAAAATATATTGAAAAAAAAATATAAAATTTAAAAATAAAACAAATTAATAATTAATCTTAAAAAATTATTAATAATAACGAAAAAATTATTAATAATATAATATTACAAAAATTACACATTGCCGAATATTTCACATTGCCGCTAACATATATACATACACCTTTTGACTAATACCCTTAAAAAATTATAATATATTATATTTAAAGATGTGATGGAGCACAACAAAATTTTATATTTATATAGCCCTGCGCGAATTAAAAGAAACACTTTTGTAATCCCAGGGAAGCAAATGGGCGAGTGGAGGATCTCTGAAGGTAAAATGTAATATTTAAACCTATTTAAAATTTAATCAGACATAATGAGAGTCACAGCCTGGATCCAAAAAGAAGACTGTAAGCTTATCGCATATGCTTTTAGTTTAAGTATATTAAAACAAAGTCTACTTAATTTATTTCTGATTTTATCATTTATACTAAATATAATTATTTATAAATTTAAAATAGCTCATAGTTAAAATTAGAAAATAGCAAAATCATTTGTTGAACACCTATTAAAATTTGGAGATTTGATTTTTTCCGAAAATGCATTCATTTTTTTATGTGAAAAATACCTCCTACTTTATAAAACTCAAAAAATGTGGTTCATGATCAGTTATTTTAAAATTTTTCACATACTGGAATTACATGGATTGATTAAATTAAGATTACTTTTAAGATTCCGTTAATCAATAAGAGCGATGCAAATATCATAATTACAGAGAGTCCTAATTCAAGTCCCCAAGCGATATTGAAAACTAAAAAATAATATTTTAATTTAAAAAAATATATATGGTAAGTAAAAAAAACACTCGGTTTAACAATATAAATACTAAAATTTCTGATCATCCGCTTGGTAGAAACTTATGATATGACAACAATTCATGAAAAATAATAAAAGCACTTTAAGTCATTGATTTCATAAAAGAGAAAAATAAGGACATTACAAATCAATATAACAAAATATCGGTGAATGTTAGTTACGTGCCAAGTCACCCTATTTAAAATGCAATAAGTTTCATTTTTTTTAAATATATTATGAGATGAAATCACGCGGTCGCTGCCTATATATTTTATATCATATACCAACACAGAACCACCTAGGTGATTTCAGAAAGAAAACTAGATCCTTACTGAATTCGAACCCAGATCTATCGGATTAGTGATCCCCGTACTTACATACTAGGTGGCCTAGTAGGTATCCGAAAACTACGATTTTTAAAATATATATTATAACCATATGTTGAAGTGTCGCTCAAACACAAAAATATAAAATACCAATTCGTTTAACACTGCTTAGTCTAGCCGATTTTTTTGGCTAAGGCTAAACCTTCAATTGATTTTGAATAGCTAACATTCTGCTTTACTGTAAATTTAATAATTCAGAAGGGTGTGACAATTGTCATACGTCATTTTAAAACTTTTCCAATGTTTTTAATGAAAATAGGTAATAATTAATATTTTAAATCTGTTGTAGTTGAAATTCAATAATAATGTAATTCAGAAGATTGATAATTGCCATATTCGACATTTTAAAACTTTTTTAGCCAAAATAAATTGACTCAGGCTTAGCCTAGGCCGAAATAAATCAGCTCAGACATAGCCTTAACTAAAATAAATCGGCTAAGGCTTAGCTTAACTAAAAAAAAATTAGCTAAGGCTTAGCCAAAACCAATTTTAAAAAATTCGGCTTAGGCCTAGCTTTCGCTAAAAAATCGACTATTACCTAACTATAGTAGTTAAAAATAACCTAAAAAAATCCATAGGTTTCTCTTCCCAGTAACTATTAACAGATTGTAATTTATTAACAATGTTATATAGTAAGAAAAATGTGAGGGATGGAAGGGGGGGATAAAAATTCAGAAAAATATCTAAAATAGTATGTTGGCATGCTGGTTTATATTTAAAATGAGATATTCACAAGAATATTGAGCCTTCATTTTAAAATACCCTAAAAAATAATTTCTTTTTTTTAAAAAAACGGTTAGTTTCTATTTTCCAATTTAAATATAATAGCCGTGTTAATATTTATGATGTAGCACCTAAAACCCATTTCTATGGGGAAGGGGGGGGGGGGCAAATCAATAAAAAAATAAAGATAAATTTTTTTATTACTACATACATTCTTTATAAATAATTTATGCTAATATTTATGGTAATACATTTTTGCAATCATTCAGAGTTTGGAATCCGGACCAAAAAGGATTCTAGTTCCAGTTTTTAGAAAATTTAAAAAGAGTTTTGGTGCTTATATTTATTCAGAGGATACAATTTAAACTCAGTTAATAAGCAATTTTTTTAAATAAATCACAAACTTGACAATAAATTAACCGTTTAAAATAAATCATAAAATTTTGAATATTATACTTTTGATGACACAGTTCTGGAAATTTCAAAAGGGATTTGGGTTCCGCTTCTCGTAAATTTTATGAGAACGTTTCGGTTCAGGTTCTTTGATTGGACTCGGTACAGAGGGCCGCTTCTAGTTCCAAACTCTTAATTATTTTTAAAAAATGTGAGGATACAATAGATTCATTCAAGAATGCATTAATAAAAAATCAAGTGTTTTTGTGAACAGTCTTTCATTAAGATGTCATTAATCAGGCGATTGTGCAACTAATACTGGATATTACCAATGACCGACCTCGCTCACTGACAATTAAGGATGACATATTTGTGTTTTTTTGGTATTTTTACCGTTCCCTTAGCCTGCCAGAAATAAATTTATTTCTTACCAATAATAATAGGGTCCAATAATAGGGCCTTTAAAAAAATAATTCCAACCGAAATTTTTCTTTTTAAATACCCGGATCGGGCCAAAAAAAATTTTAAATACCCGAGCCCGGCTGAAATTTTAAATCGCCATTATTATATATAAAAATTGAAAATAAATAGAATATATTTAAAAATTATGTATCATAGAACAATATATCACATATCACTTATCATGAAAATGTTTGTTGAAAATAAATGATTAATTTTAAAAAGTTATTATATATGAACTTCATATTCGCTGAAAAACGATCCTTAAAATGCCGAATAGGTATATTTTGATTTTTTTAAAAAACCAAGGCCTTAGAAAAAATTTAGGGACAAATAATATTTTTTAAGAAAATCAGGGCCGAAAATAATAAAACCCGGGCCACTTTTAACCGAGGCAAAAAAAATTTTATTTATTTAAATCAAGGCCGAGCCATGCAAATGATACCTCTGCTGGTCTCTTATAAATAGTTTTGTTTTTTGTCTTTTTTAAGTGAAAAAGTTGTGAGACGGGCCTTGATAAAATTTTTTAGGCTTTGTATATGATTTTTCAAAGACCTGCCCAGCCTGCCTGGGTACACAAGCCGTATTTAAATTTTTATAAATATATCCTGGCCGAGCCTAAAAATTATTTTTAAAAATACGCGGGCTGGGCCGTTAATTATAAAATAGAATATTTTAAATCGCCATTATTAGCTATAAAAGTTAAGAATAAATGTAATATATTTTTAAATGTTATCTTTGCAAGTCTCTATGATTTTTATGGAGGTGTTTAAATTATATTGAATCTATCAAAAATTGTGTATTTTTTCTTACACTAGGCTTGAAATAATTTGGATCCTTGGCAATTTCCTTGGTAGAATTTAATTTATACTTTATTTTCTTTATTCATAGGTATATTTTATTTTGTTAAAAACACGAAATATCACCTAATTTATTTGTATATACAGGTATGTAATAAGTGGTTGGAGGGGAGGTAAGGGGACAAATACCCCTTCCTCTCCCCTTCTCATAACTAAAAAAATGTAAATTATTTTAAACAATTTTTGAAGAAATAAATATTTTCATGAATTGCAAACAATCCTTATTTTAAAATTGTTATATTCTATTATAAATAGACTTTTATGAGTGCCCTTGGAGAAATATCGGAATAGCCTGAACCAGATATTTCATCTGAAATGTACATTATGAGCTTCAATAGGACAGCCGATTTATTTTTCGTTGGAATGTATAAATAAATTATTAGGTTACACAACTAGCAATATATTTCATTTCACAAGATATCTACGATTGTTGAAGCGAAACCAAAGCGATATGAATAGTTTTAGTAAGTTCAACTATCACTGAGGCAAACATAATTCTAATATTTGCGTTGCCTTGATTAAAGTTTGCTACAAAATAACAATCTTTACACTTCTTATCCAAATCAAAGAAGGACTTGTGATTCTTTAATTTTATAATCTTGGAATTAAAGATAAATTCTAATAGATAATCATCCAAGAAGCGTCATAAAAGCATTGTATACTTTAAAATATATCAAAATTGCTATATATTTTGGCAAAAATACCACATTAAGCACAAGCTCAAATGCAATGACTTTATCTTCATTACAGAAATTAAAAACCTATCTCAAAACTATGAAATCAGAAAATCGATTTAATGGATTAGTTTTAATATTTGTTCTAATAAATTTATGTAATAATTAGTTCTAATAAATTTTAATGTTTATTTTATATGTAATAAAAAAATAGCAAAAAGGTTCATAGAAATGTTAAGATAGTTTTTTTTTAAATGTTTTTTTTTATCCTTGTAAAATGTTTTAAAATGATTATGGTCCAACTCAAGGAAATTATTTTTAGTCACATAACCTGTCAGATTTGAGAAGTAATAGATCTTTGCTAAAAATTTTAAGGGAAAAATTTTTCAAATGCCATTTAAGTTTCATTTGTTAAACCCTGGCATATAATACAACATTCAATGAATAAATTTTAACAAATATCGGCTGATTATAATGTTTACATCCCATGCTTATGAAGTCATAATATAAGCTAAAATTTTTGAGAAAAAAAATTTTAAAACAGAACTTCTACTTCTCGTATTTGAGGTGGATTGATTTCTTGTGCGTCCTGGTGATCTATTCCACCATATCAAATAGTATATTCTAGTTGCAGCTTCTAGAACGAAATATATCTATAAAAAGGATAAAACCATTTTGTTTTAAAAAGTAAAAATATTGGTGTATCCAAGATTTTCATTTTCTTCCTTTCCTTATAAATTTTATTGAAGGCTTTATAGGTTCATTTTTTGAATGCCTTTGGCCTGATAACTCTTTAATTTGGTTTTATACTCTTTTTAAAAATAAGTGTTTTTTTCTGAAAATTTTTGAATGTACTTATTATAAAATATTAATAACTTGCCACCCTATTCTAAATTAAATTAAATTGCCATAAATTATATTTTTATAACTATTAACTTTCAATATTAATGCGATGTAATCTTAGTTTATGATTATTATAGAGGTAGGCTATGGGCTTATAATTACATATTAAGACTAAAATCAATCCATTAATCAATAATTATTGAAGATATTCGAATCTTAGTAAATAGTATTCAAATCAAAATGAACGCCACTCTAACATTATTGAATCAAATTGATCACCAATATTTAAATTAATTCTGCAGATAAATTAAAGGTCTGCCTCACCTCTTCACTGTTCTTGTTTAATATTAAGTGCGGTATTGTTTTATGTTAAAAATACATTTTTAAAGTTATGTTTTGAATAATACGCGGTTATCCATCTCCTATGAATCAGAAAACTCAAATTTCATAATGGTGTCATGATAACAAATATTTCTCAAATTTCATAATGGTGTCCTGATAACAAATATTTCGGAAATATTGATTGAGTTAGGGAAAGTGTTATAGCCCAGCAAGATTTCTGATTGAAAAATTTATTGATGTGAAATAGACATTCATGTGAATAAATCTGAATAAAGTTTAGGGCTTTTTATTTTATTTTATGAGGTAAACATTTAATATCTTAATTTTTTTTTTATCTAATTCTGCCATCTTTGAAACAAAGAAAAGGTCTTTGTTGACATGTCAGCAAAAAAAAATAATACAATGGGAGAAAGAACATCAATCCTGGAATAGATCTTAATGGATGCAGTTAATCTTATTGATGTATGTAAAGAGTTTTATAATACGAAAGCCAGGTGAATCTTTTAACCCTGATTATCTTAAAAGGGCCCTCAAATTCGCAACAATTATTATGTACTACTGCAAGATGGGAAAGGTCTAGATAACATGCTGAAAGAATTATAAATTCATCTAAATATTACATCATATTTGATCAGAAGACTTCATTGATTTGGCAAATGTATGGTTTCCGCAAGGGGATTTTATTTTCAATAAAATAATGAGTCATGTCTTAGATCAAAATCAACTAATATATTTTTATCAGATGACGGTTTGGCTTTATTAAAATAGTCTTCATAAGCCCCTATTTAAGTGTAATAGAAAATATATCTGGGCTTTTATATACAAAAATGACATATGCAACCATAAGACGAGAGTGATGATTAATTTCAATTTAAAAATTATTTTATCAGCTTAAATTTGTAACTCTTACTGAGATAGTTTTTAAATAAATTATTCAACCGCCCCAAACACACACGACCTAAACCTGAGGACCTAGAGTGATAAAAAAATTAAATAATAAGGTATTTGAGGGCGAAGCCTCCATCCCTCATGAATTATTCCACTTCATTATATATTAAGCATTTTACTCTAATAAAGCCTCTACCCTGGAAATTGATTTTAAGAAAATATAGATTTCTAATTTAGCATTAAACTTTTTACTTTAACGCCTTTCTTAGTGAAAATTAATTTAGGAAAATTATTTCTAGTTTCACATCAAACTTTTTACTTTAATAAAGCCTTTTTAGAAGCGGAAATGAATACTAAAAAATATTTCTAATTTTTATATCAAACTTTTTACCAAAAATATATTACCAGTGTAATGTACGCCGAAAGTAAGCTCCCAGTCCTCAGTGAATAAAAATAACAGCATTTTTTGAGAATGGCCATGATATTTCAAACCCTATTGTTTTTTTTAAATTAAAATTTTATAAAATAAAATGATATAAAATAAATGCAATATTATTTTTAACAGGTAAATATTATATGTTTTGAACTCAAGGCTGTTTTTACATTTTACGATTCCATTTCCCCTTTCCGCATTTGTTATTATTATTAACCGGAGTTATTATTATAATGAAAAAGAAATGTAAATATTTAAATAGCTACTAATTAATTTATTAACAAATATAATTATTTAATTACCTTATTCATAATGTAATTTTAATAATTTATGATTTAAAAAAAAATAAACGAAGGTTAAGAATCAATAAAAAAAATTTTTTTTATAATAATAAATAAATTTCCGGGTTATTTCGGGGAAATTTCCAGTGTTGTTAAACGCTATTTTATAAAAAAAGTAGCGCGCTATCGCTACCGCTATCGTTTTCAAATGAGTAGCGCGCTATTAGCTACTTTTAAAATAAAGTAGCTAAAGCTACTTTTTACGCTACTTTGATTTTTTTTTTAAATATTTTTTTTTACGTAACTTTATTTCCACAAATAAAATATTGATATAAAAACATGACTATAATTTGTTACATATATATATATAATTTATTTATTATTGCACTTTAATAATAATAACATTTCGGTACTGTCATCCCCAAGTCTAGAGCGACGTTTAGAAAGTATAAGCTTTGCCATACTAAATAATCGTTCAGCACTAGCACTTAAGGGCAACGCAGTATTAAATTTAATAAACAAACTTTTTATATGAAAAAAATCATCAAAAATATTTAAATTAGTATTTTTAGATTTAAAAAAAGCATCTAGAGGTTAATTAAAAATACTTCAGTATATTCTTTAATAAAAGTATGCTCCTCCACATTAAAATACTGTATTCCCATTTGATCCAATATATAATTCATTTCCATTTTTTTCTCATCTAGAAACAATGCTAAAAGTTTCATAGCATTGTAAACACTATTCCATCTTGTAGTGTTTGGTGTCAATAAATAACGTCCTAATTTTATTTTGAAAATATCAGACGTCTTTGATGACTTATTTTATTTATTCCAAAGAGCTTGGCATTTAGAAAATGTAGATCTTGATACTCTTTTAAAATCCTCATTTAATAATGCTTCTTCAGCATCCACTGTCGCAATTAAATTTAGGTTGTGGCAGGAACAACGATGATGGCTAGGTAACATAGAAGACTTTATTGAAGATCCTAAATATTATAAATTTTATTTTATATTGGTGAAAAATTAAATATAAAATAATTTAAAACCAAGGATGTCATGAACATCAATTATCTCAAACTCCATTTCATCATCCTCTTCTTGTTTTTCATCTTCAATATTTTTGTCAGGAATATTACTAGTATTGTTATTATTATTATCTTCCCCAAATATTCTATATTATTTATATCATATTATAATAAATTTAAAACCTGAAGGCCTTCAGGAAATTAGACCCATTATCCGTAATCATCTTACAAACCTTGTTTTGAATTTTGTAAGACCTATGGATTTCTGCAATAATATTGGCTAGAATGTCATAAGTCTGACAGCCAATTATTCTCTTTAGAGCTAACGCTACAGATTTTCGTTTAAGATTTTAGGATCAATCCAATGTGCAGTTACTCCTAAATAAGCTCTAAAAATATGACATATTATAAATCAGAAAATAAACATTTTTACCTTCTATTGTGAGTCCAGCAATCTGCCGTTGTACAGACGTAGGAGACATCTGATATATTTAATATCAAAGATTCTTTCATTTCCTTAAAGCTCTCCAAAATTCTTGCCATCAATGTCTGCCGGCAAAATATCTTGGTCCGTGGAGAAAAAGTGTTTATCATCTTTATAAAAGAATCATTTTCCACCAAGGATAATGGTTGAACTGTATCTATTATAAAGTTCATAATGACTTTGTCAGCCAATTTTTGGGATACACCAGGTGTTGATGAATCCAAATTGGTTAATTTTGTTTGTATTAAATTTGATTTGGAAGTGGGTTTATCTTCTTCCATTACCCCAAAACTTTTGAGATATTTTTCAATCTCTTTATAATTTGAAGTGTGCACAGTCTAAAATAAAAATTATGTAGGAGATAAGTACATAAAAATGATTGAAATAACTATTTTAAAATGTTTTAAATAATTTAGATAAAATTTATGAATATATACAAAAAATGATTGGTTTTTGATTTTAATTTATTTTAAAAATTAAAGATTAGCCTACACATTGATATTAAATTTGTTTAATATATTACCTTTAAATGTTTTTTCAAATTAAAGTTGCTCGTATGATTTGAAGAGATAATTTTGCGGCACATCTTGCACCGAAACCGATATCCAGTATTAATTTTTTCTTCAAGGTTAAAGTATTTCTTGAATTTTGGGAAAGGATCATCTATATTGCTCATTTTCCAAAGAAATTTCAATATCTTCAACAATCTCACACATAATAAGATTTATAATGCTTAATATAAAATGTAAAATGAAATCTAAAATAAGATAAAAGCAAGGACATATCAATAACGTAATTTCAAAAATATATAATTTAATGAATGCGCGAAATATAAATTAAATACAGATTGCTATTTAACAACTGTTTATATCTAATATATAACAATAATATATATTTTTAAATATAAATATAAATTTCAAAATTAAATTAAATAAAAGGATTATAATTTTAGATTTTATAAAAAATATATTTTAATAATTTTAGATGTATTTATTATGTAAAATTAAAAGTAGCGAAGTAGCAGTAGCGCGCTACTTCGCTACTTTCTAAATTAGTAGCGAGCTACCGCTATCGCTATTTTTTTAAAAAGTAGCGCGCTATAGCTACCGCTACTGAAAAAAGTAGCGCGCTATAGTAGCGCGCTACACTGGAAATTTCCCTGGAAATTTGGGAATAATGGGAAAATATGGAAACAACGGGAAAAAACGGCAAACTATCTTTGTAATACTTTGCAGGTCAATATTGATTTTTTTCATGTTTTATTGAAAATATATAGATTATAAACATTATAATTAAACATGATTTAATTTCAACTAATTTATGATTTCTTTACATGTTTCATTTGAAATATATGGACTATAAACAATATTTAAACAAATATGATTTAATTGGAGTAATTTTTTAGTTATCTTCGTTTGAAGAGGAAAATGATTCCAAATCAGAGCTTGAAATTCTTGAATCCAGCAATTTATCATTTGCAAAAATTTCTTTTCCCATAAAATGAAGATTGGCTCTTATAAAAACTAATTTTAGAACCTTACCATTTTTTATTCTTTTTCTAGATTTCGAATGAATATTTGCATATGAGGACCATATTCTTTCGAACGCTGCACTCATCGTTGACACTGATAAAATCCTATGGCTAGGGTCGATATGTATTGATATAACATATACATAAAATATTAAATAACACAATTTTTACGATTAGAAAAAGAGTTAGGTTATTGTTTACTAAAATATAAAAGTATTTAAATTTTCCACCAAGTCACTGGATCTGTAAATGATGCGCCTTGCCATATTAAAAAAATCTTCCCTTGCACGATATTTGGATAGGTTTCCCATTACTCTCGCAATATCGAAATCTAGATATCCAGAAAATCGATTAATGATATCCAACCCCTTTGCAACTTCATTGTCTTTTAAACTAAACCTTGGGTCATGACCATTATAATGTATGTCCTGGTAAAAAAAAATTTCGGCTTTTAATAAACTGCTTAATTTCTGAAATCTCACTTTTTACAATAGATTTGATATTGTTTTATATACGTTAAATGTCTTCCCCTGGTATGAATAAATACTTGAGGGACATCTGATAAATTGGCTTTATCCCCTTCCACTATCTCTATTTGTGCAAATATGACTTTTATAAAATTGTATAAGTGCATTAAACCCCCATTGATCGAGAAGAGTATAGTCACTTATCTCGATCAGTAAATATATCAAGAATTGTCATTTCCTGTAGAATATCTTTATTTTATAACAAGTTATTTATCATCAAAATTATACCTGCCTAACGAGTTGGGCTAGACAACTTTAGGAAAACAATTTTATCATTATTTCTTGTTTTTCTTTTAAGGTTGATAAAAGAATATTGTTAGATATTACATATTTGATGATATTTTTAGCTATTGTGACTAAAATTTGAATCGATAATATCTTATTTGCTGTGTCCTTTAGAAGTAGATTTAATCTATGAGCGGCACATCCAATGTATTCAATAGTTAGATCATTACAAGGTCCATGCTTTTTCCATATTGCTTGCATTGTCAGTTATTATAGTGTTTATTTTTGAAATTCCCATCTCTGGAGATAAGGAAATTAATATATATATTCAAAAACAAAATACAATTATAACTTATGATATGAACCACGAGGAAAAGATGTTTATATAAAATAAAAAATCTTATTTATTTTATCATAAGACCATTTTTAAAATTGGGAAAACGTTAATATTGTAAAAATCATGTTGATTTAATCAAAAAAGCGTATTATAAAAATTGGGGAAACTATATGGAAAATTTCGAAGTTTCCTGGGAAGTTTTCCATATTTCCCGGGAAATTTCCTCTGCCTTACATCCCTAATATTATGTAGTAGCAGTGGCGTAGCCAGCATTTATCTGGAGGAGAGGAGAGGGGGTTAAAAAAAAATTTGAGGCTTGGCCCCCAACCCCCATTTTAAAAATTTGCCAACATCTTGTGCATTATTAGTCTTTAACCACTAGAGTAGCCAGCATAAATGAATAAAATATTAATAACAAAATTTTGGCCAAATTTATGATTAATAAGCGACTGAAAGCATTATTCTGAAAATTTTATCAATGTTTAGTCAATTGTAAATTAATTCAATCCAGCGTCTACATGGCCGGGAGGGGGGGGGGTAGGAGACAAATGCCTCCAAAATATATTAGCATTTTTGGGGGTAGGTATCGATTTTAAGGGGTTGATATTAATTTTTTGGGGGTAGGCATTATTTTTTTGGGGGTAGGTATTGATTTTTGGTGGGTAATTTTTGATTTGAATTATAATCTTTTTTTAATCCATTAATTGATACGATTATGATGGTTATCGTTTGATTTTCTGAAAAATGTCAATTAAAGTAAAGATATTTGTCAATTAATAAATAATATAAATTTTCTTTGTCAACGATTTTCATTTAGCATTTTATCAAGTTAATATTTACACATTTCCTATTTGGTACTTTTCTTAGAGGTTAATATATTTATATTATGTTTTTTAATAAATTTATAGATTTTAGCAGGATAAATTTTAGGTAATTTTTTGAGTCATGCATAAAAACATATATCAGCAAGCAAAGAATAATAAAAAACATAATATGTAAAAAATTATATTATAATAATTATTTCTTTCTAGATGCCAAATAACAAAACCATATTTAAAGTTAAGTGCAATATTAAAAATTGCAAAACTTCTAAAATAAGAAGTGACAAGATACATGAACATTATAAACATAAACATCCTCATGTTAAGCCAGCTGATATGAAATTTACAAAGGTAGCCATCAAAAGAGATAATAATAATTGGGTATCTTTAAATTGTGATATTCCATATAATATCACAAATGGAGTTGAAACCCAGTTGCAAAAAAAGACAATAACATCTTACTTCCAAAAAGTAATATTTTTATTTATTATTGTAACTATAAATTTGTGAATTAATAGAAACTGATTTAAAATTTTACCAGAATAATATTAATATTAAAGTAGTCAGGGTATAGAGAAAATAAATTATATATATTATTATTTAATGTTTTTTAACTGTTTATCACACTATTTTTATATCTATATATACTTTATAAAGTTCAATTTAACAATATGTTTAATAAGTTAATAATAATAATTTAAAACCAATGTATTAAAAAAACTTATTAAGTTAATATAATGTAGTAAAATAAGGTAATGTTAATTTCTAGGAATTTTTAAATTTAAATCTTTTCATCTTTAATTGAATTAAGACTTCAAATTCTTTTACTTTTTTTAAATATAAATCTTATAAAATATGATTTGGAATCAACTATTTTCAAAATGTTATCTGTGTGAGTTTCATCCCCTTTATTTACATTATGTGTTATATTAGGTATGTTTATTATCATTGTTTTATTTAGCTATTAGAATTTCTTTAGATAATATACTTTCATCATGAATTTCACAATTTTATTTATACTTAATATTGTTTTTATTTTTATAGTCATTATAATATTGTTTTATGATTTCTTCATGTGATCGCAGTTTTATATTAATCTGCATCTATCATGCCTATCAAGTATATTTTAAAAATGTTTTTACATGATCTAACAAAGTCATATTGATGTTTATGATTATTGCGTTCAAAATATGTGAATTCCCTTTGTATTCTACATTCACTTGTGCTTTACCTATTACTTGTATCATCTTTCCATTGTAACCTGATAACTTTATGTTGGACTTCATAATATTTTTAATACCTGTTTTCTCAATCATGTATTCATGTAGAATTAAAACATTTATTAAAAACTTAATTATAATGTAGTTAAAAAAAATTATCATTTGCCTAAAAATTTATTAAAAATATAGTTATCATAAGGAAAGAAATTAAACTCCTCTTTATTTATAGAAAATCTCAGTTATTGAAGATTCACAAATTGTATTATCTCCTCATCCAATCCCCAGTTCCAGTGAGGTGTTTACTTTGTATGATGAGGTATTTAATTTAAATACGAATTATATGATAACTTTTGAAAGAAATAAATTATGATTATGAGGTTAATTAAATATTTCCAACCTTTATTAAAAACTTAATTATAATGTAGTTAAGAATAAAATGACCATTTGACTAAAATTTTATTAAAAATGTAGTTTTTCATAAGTAAACAAATTATACTCTTTATAGCAAATCTCCAATATTGAAGATTCACAAATTGTATTATCTTCTCATCCAATCCCCAGTTCCAGTGAGGCGCTTACTTTGCATGATGAGGTATTTAATTTAAATACGAATTATATGATAACTTTTGAAGAAAATAAATTAGGACATTTAAATATTTCCAACATTTATTGATTAACTTAATTATAATGTAGCTAAGAATAAAATGACCATTTGGCTGAAATTATATTAAAAATAGATTTTCATAAGTAAACAAATTATACTCTTTATTTATAGCAAATCTCCAATATTGAAGATTCACAAATTGTATTATCTCCTCATCCAATCCCCGGTTCTAGTGAGGCACTTACTTTGCATGAGGCATTATATTTAAATAAAATTTATATAATGACTTTTGAAGGGAATAAATTATGAGGATATTCAAAGTCCAAGTCTTATTCAGCTATACAAAAAAAAGGAACCAAATGACCCTTTTCACTTTATATTATTTAGGATGACAAATATTTTGATAAATTTCATAATTGCTGTAGCCCTTGTCAGCCATGTACAAATAAATTTCAATATCCTGTTACTAACAAGAGGTTTTAAATAATATTTATTTTCATTAATTTTTACCCATCCATTATTTCTATACCAATATATTTTTTTTTACTTTTTAAACAGGAGCATGAATATAACCTATTATAGAAAGGTTAATATAGATGGTTCCCTCAACCCCAGAAATTGGCTATCTTATTGCACTACTTTAGACAAAGCCTTTTGTCTATATTGTATTATGTTTGGTGGCCCTAAGTCCAATACTTTTTGGACTCAACATGGGGTAAATAATTGAAAAAACATAAAGCGTGACTTAGAGAGACACGAAGCATCTTCTCTTCATAAAGATTCTGAATATGCAAACATGACTTGGCTTGCAAATAAACGCATTCAAGATCATTTGCTATCAAATAAGCTTGATATAATCATGGAAAATCGTAATATAGTTCATAATATTATCAATGCCATTATGTACCTTATAAAATGTAATATAGCCTTTTGGGGTTCTAATTCGAATGAAGGTAATTTTATGTGTCTCATAAAATTAATGGCAAAAACGGTTCCAACTTTACGTGCATACATGGATAACAACGAAAAATTGCGGAGAAAAAAATCAGATAAAATTTCGAGACCTTATATAAATTTACTGTCATATGGCCACGTGAAAAAAATAACTGAAATTATTAAGATAAAAATCAAAAAGCATTATTCAAACAATTAAAGAGAATCGTGCCTATAGCATCATATTAGATGGAACATATGATGTGTCTAAAAAAGAATGCATAGCTTTGCTTGTACGGTATATAGAAGATGATCTGCATCCACATCCTGTAGAAAGGATCATACATGTTTTTACAACATCAGAAACCACTGGGGAAAATATAAAGAAACATGTTTTTTCTAAGTTTAATGATCTTGGTCTTCCTCTTGATTATTTGGTTGGACAAAGTATGGATGGTGCAGGGAATATGAGAGGAGTATACAAAGGAATGCAGGCTTTAATATTGAAAGAGGCTCCAAAAGCCATCTATATTTGGTGCCATGCACATCGGCTAAATTTAGTAGTTGCTCATGTTTGTGGATGCAAAATTGAAATGAAAAAGGCAATGGGAATATTAGATGAGTTATATAATTTTATGAATGGAGTTAGACGTCAAGGTGTGTTTGTTAAATATCAAATGAGAAAGTCCAAGAAATCTCTTAAAAGAATTAAAAACACAACAAGGTAAATAAAATATTTTTAATGAAACTTGAAACTTATATATTTTCAGAAATTGGTCATCATCCTACAAATCTGTAGAAATCTTTTTAGATGTTTATGAACATATTTTAGCATCATCAGTTGAATTAAAAGATTCTAATGACCCAAGCACCTCTTCCATTGCCGTTGGGTTATTATCAAGAATTAAAGATGAAAATTTTATATTAAGTCTTTTTATTTTGAAAGAAATATTGAAATGTACACATGAGGCTTGTATTGAAATGCAAGCAGTTGGTAATGATTTGGCTTTGGTAACCAAATTAATACAACATACAAAAAATAAATTACAAAAACTAAAAGGTTAATATTAGTTACTATTTCTATAAATAATTTTAAAATATAGCTAATGAAGACAATATATTTTTAAAATTACATTCCTTATCTAATAGTTTTTTGAAAAAGAATAATGTAATAACTGATTTGTATAATATGAAATCAATATTCAAATTGGATCAAACAGAATTCAATAATTATGTTGAACAAAAAAAAAACAAGTTGAATAAATTAAAAAAATTTAAATTATTATTTATTATTATAGATATAGAACGGAAATATTTTTCCCTGTTCTAAATGCAATAATTAATCACCTAAATGATCGATTTAATTATGATTGTTTAAATTTTTTATCACAGATATCCATTTTTACTCCCGCTGGAATTATGGATAATGAAAAAATAGAAGGATGGCAAATATCCGAAATTTGTAATACTTATCAATTGGATGTCCAAAACATTGTTGATGAATATAATGATTTTCGCTCTTTATATTTGGAGTCTCAATCAATCATTTTTTGCGAAGATCTTTTAAAAGTTAAAAAGAATGACGCGTTATATATTGATGAAAGTAATTTATTGATATTTTATTTGTAATTGTATATAATTAAAGGTATTGCAAACGATCAAATTACCAAAGAAAATATCAACAGCGAAATCATGACCAAAATAAAAAAATGGATAAAATTTTCTTTTATATTACCATACCGACTTTTAAATCAATTAAATTCTTATTCAAATTTAAATTTATTATATAAATATTTATTAACCCTTCCTACAACTTCCTGTTCAGCCGAAAGAGCCATGAGTAAAGTAAAAATTAACAAAACTCGAATTCGGAATAAAATTTCGGACCCATTTTTGGAAAATTTACTGTTAATATCCAGCGAAATTGATGTTTTTGAAAAATTTACAATTGATGATATTATAACACAATTTGCTTTAACATCAATAAGGTTATCCAAATTATTAATAAAATAATTAATGTATCTTTTTCACAGCGAATATATAGGTTTTTAAATAATGTATATTTAACTTAACATTTTATAATTTCAATGCAAAATATACTATAATTCATTTTATTCTAATATTTTATATAATAGCTCTATTTACAATACATGTTTTTAATTATGTGGAATCAAGCTAAATATACCTCTTTAAATTTATTCGTCTTATATTTTTTACAATATTTTAGATCTTTTTCATAGAAATATTAATATGTTATCTCATTTAATTCACTTATATATATTTTATGGAAATAAAGTGAATACCAAATTATGAAAAGATTGCATTATTTAAATAAAAGTTCATTATCACTTACAAATTTTTAAATTTTTTTCCCTAAATAGGCTTGAAAGATTGTAAATAGAATTATGTTGTAAGGTTATAAATGGTGGCAGATAAGATTTTTTAAATAAAATCCCTATACCATCGTAGGTCTGTAAATTTCGCGGCCGAAGCCCGCAGGATTTTTTTTAGGTGGGTATGGGTAGATTTTGGAGGGGTTTGCCTCCATCAAATTTTCTGCCATGTAGACGCTGATTCAATCCATTCTATATAGAAAGGAAAAAAATTCGCCCACCAAACCTCCTATTTTATGATCACTCTATATCTTATTCTATGTTAAAAATAATTATTTTAATTAAATTTTTGTATCAAAATTTTGCAGAGAATTAGAGATTTTATATATTATTAAAATACTCTAGTATGAATAACATCCCTTTATATAACTATGGATTTATTTTAATGATAATATACGATAAAATAAATTTCAAAATGTAGAAATTTTATATAGATTATTATATATTAAAGATTTATTGTAAATAACTATATTTAAAAACAATATAATTACAATAAAATATGAGTAATTCTTGTAAGGTATTTTAAAAAATGTAATTTAACAATTATAATTTATACAAATGAGTATATTATCAAAATATAAATAATTCTTATTGAAAATGCAATAATTTTATTTAAAATATTAAAGTATAAAAAATAGCATAATATAAAAAATATATAAATATTATGACTAAGAATTCATTATAATTAAGATTTGCATATAAAAATTTTATGACTAAGACCATATTATAATCATATTGCAATTTTATTATTTAAATTTATAAAGAGTGGTCTACTTTTCTCTGAGATTTGCCTAATTCATCTAGAATCAAATTTTTATCTAGATTAACCTTATAAATATTTAGAATGACTAATCCATTTAAATGGTTTTCACGGATCTATTTCTCAAATAGGTTTTTAACCTTTTCAAAGTTGAAAAAGACCTTTCATTAGTGTGGGCACTAATTGGTAAGGTAGCTAAAATAAAAGGCAATATTTTGGTATCAGGCAGGGAATCTAAAGTGCAATTACACATGAAAAGTGCCTGCAAACCATTTTTTAGTCTTTATTCTGTCAAGATTTTTATACCAAAATTTGACATCAGGAAGCGAGTTATCATATGATCCTTATAAATCATCAGAATAAAATCTGAGATTTTCTTAATATCCCCTCGCGTTTCAAGTGTATTCAGACTCAACCGGCAGAAGAAAATAAAAGGTTTTTAAAATAAAATTGTGACTAATAAATCTTTCCTTTAATTAAAATCAAAATGTATCAATACAGGAAATAAAAATATTTATTTTACAAAAATCCTCTGACGTTGATACATCAACATTTAAGCGATTGGACTGTCTATAAACTACTCTAGGTTTAAAAATTTCAATCCCAAACATTTAGCGATCTCCTTTTTCATGATCCATGCTGTTTATATTTACCAAATTAAACGATTTTTCTTTTATTTTAAAATAAAAAATTAATTAAAATTTTTAAAACTATCTAATTAGTTTAACAATATATTTATAAATATTCAATTTAACTATGCCAGAAAAGTTACAATATATCTTTATTGATTTAATATTTAGTTCATATAATTTTCAATATGTATTTATAACCATGTGATCATTTAAAATTGACAATTCTTTATTTGTTTTTTAAAATATATAACATTTTGATATCCTATATATTATTTTATTTCTAAATAGAAACTTTGAAATAAAATTATTCGTAATTAAAAAAATTCGGAGATTAAAGAGGGGGGGGGGTCAACCATAAAGCCTCCCCCCCTTCCTTGTCTACGCCACTGTGTAATAGCATGATAAATTTTAATTAAAAAAAAATCATATTTTCTATAATAGTTATTTTTTATTCTTCGTATTGTTTTCTATATTCTTTCTTTTTTTCTCTATTTATATTATATTCTTTTGTTATTCTTATTCATTTCATTTCCTATCTTTTTATATTTATCTTACCCTAATTTTGTAAGCAGCCTTATTAGTAATATTTTATGTCTCCGTCAATGAGTTAGTGTTGTAAACGGCCTAATTTGTTTTTAAAAATGGTCGATTAAATATTATTATTGTAAGCCTGGAGATTTTTCTCATAGATTGCAGAAAGGTTTGGACCTCTATGCCAAATCTCGATTCTTACATAATATTATTTTAGCTAAATTCTTAATCCTGCCGTTTTTAAAAATCGGGCCGTTTGACAACACTATGTGAAGATCATCCCGACCCCCCTGAAAATGGGCTGAGATGATTAGCTTGCCATTTCCAAAAAATTTCCGAATTTTTTCAAATATAAAATGTTACTTTAAGATATTAAACATTTATAATAATAATTATTATATTATTATAAAACCAAAATTAAACTAGATTATGAAATTTTATACAAATATGAAAATATGAATTAAAATACAATTTAGACTCAAGTTTTTCTAAAATTTTTAGAAATTTATTTTATTTAAAAGAAAAGGCCATAACAGTTCAGTAAATTATAAAGGTTCATTCTTCGTTCGCTTTTTGTTTAAATTCAAATTTTCTTGGCCTTGAAATTAATTTTTTTTGAAGAAAAAATTGTCTTTCTGCATGCTCTTATTTTCCATGGGTAATTGCTATAAACGTTCTAAATTTTTTGTATTTTTATTTAAAAAATAATTTGTTATATAATTAAAATAAGAATAAATAAAAATGGAAAGGCGTGATAAAGAATATATCCTCTGTAAAGTCTAAAATAAAAACTTTAAGTATTCAATAAAGGACTGATTTTTCAAAACATTTTCATCTTGTGTTTGGTCTATTAATTTAATATGCAAACGAGGGTTCTCTAAGGTAGCAGGGGAAGGTAAATATGTAAAGAACACATTTTATTCGATTATTGAATATTTATGGCCCATATTGACTTTAAAATTTACCATTAATTCAATTTCTCTGTAGACTCCAACTGTGGCATTTATAATGCAATATGTAATAATTTTACATGTGCAATTAATAGGATTTTATATATTATTTTATAAATAAAATATGTGAACTGAGTAGAGCATCATAATAAAAAAAAATTATTAAAAATGTAATAGCTCCTAAGTAAAAATTTATAGATAACATTTATAATAAAAATAAACCTTTAAAGGGGACACGCCCAAAGCAGGGATAAAAACGGACTGAAATCCCTCTAGTACAAATTGCCCATGAGGTTGCAGCCTCGCCAATTATCCCTAAACATAGCAACTTCAAAGGCAATGGAGGGTTTCACACAATTTAATCCTTCTAGTTTTTGGTGCTTGGCTATTGGGGAATTCAGCCTATAGCTATTGTCAGGGATTTATTCTGAACAATAATTCCTAAAATAATTTGCAAACGAATAAAAATTTCTTATCTTATATTTTAGCACCCAATTAATTAGAATTTGGGATTAAAGAAGGATGTGAAACTGCGAGCTATGTAGTTAGAATCATTTTTGAAGAATCTCATTACGAATGCTTTCAACTCGTTATACCGCATATAATTCAAAGTTTTTCCGATAAATATCCAGAATTTTTAAATTACATACAATTTTAAAATGGATCACTATCAATACTATTTTATAAAAAATGTTTGTCAGTGCAAGGACTCCAGCATGGCGATTCTATAGGTTTACCCTTATTCTATTGCAATATATAAAATAATTGATAATTGTGATCTTAACCTGAACTTTTGATATTTGGATGATGCTAAACTCTTAGACCCTATAAGTAAAATAAATAAAGCTCTCGACATAATCACCCTTAGCTTTCGACATTTAAACGTATCATTAAATAATAAAAAAAATATGAAAATATATTAAAGAACAAAATACTCTTCTCTCAACCTAGATATTTACTCCTATGACTAAAGGCGAAATCTGAATTCTCATGTAACCAATAGGTGGCTCAACCACTATCCAAACATATCTAAAAAAAGAACCTAGAACATCTAACATTAAAGTAACTACCCTTAAACTCTTGCCTTCACATCAGGTTTAAAATTTCTTAAACATTTCAACATTCTTTACTGCTTCCGAAATCAGGAGCTTCCTATTTCCAGAAATTCTCCAAAATAACGAAATTAAAATCAAATCCATTGGAGGATATTTTTAATTTTTAAAACTTGCCAGTAAATATGATTTCAAATTGCCCTCCCCATAAAATCTTGAGGAACGCTCTCCATTACCAATATTAATTTATCATTTGTATCATGTTCCATCAATAACCGAAAACTTATTCTGCTAATCCACCCAACCGAAGATTAGTTACTTAATTTTACCTTATCTATCTGGTCAGCAAAGGTAACAGAGGGAACAGCCTATGCCACAAGCAGGGGAGACTGCTATCGTATCTCGATCCGTTTACTATTTACTTTCGAACAACGACACAGAACAGCTTACAAACCTTTGTTTATTATGGACAAGACTAGTTATGAATAGCCAGAGGCCTATCCAAGCAAAACAATAAGCACTTCTGAAAAACGCCAATTTAGATGTTTTATTTTTTTAATTCAATTATTTTTTTCTCTCGACTTAATATATTTTTTTAATTTAATATAGTTTCAATATTTGTTATGTTTTAAACATTTTGCATGTTTTTATATTCTATATAATCTATTAAAATAAATAAAAGCACTAAATAAAAAAATAGAAATAATCCATTTAGTGGACCCGGCTACAAAGGAAAGTGTATGGAGCCACTAAAAAATTACCCACTAGGCCGCAGCATCGCCAGTTTACCCCAGAGAATATCAGACAGATATGACGCTTTAACATCATCAAAGCCACGAATTTATGACCCTGGGTAAAACTAAAATAATATGAAATCCTGGTATTACCATGCATCAAAATACCTAAGTGCTAGATTTTACATAGAATTTTAATTTTTAAAAAAATAGATCCAAAACCAGAGGTTTTTGCTTGGGCAAACTGTTCCTCAAATTGTTAAAGCTATTAAATATTTACCATTAAAGTTTAAATAAGCACATGGACCAATTAATCTCAAACTATTTAAGTATGGATGGGTCTTTTATATTATGCATTTTTTTATCTAACAGTTCGCTTATATCATTTCTGTTATAGAATGTTTTAATAAGCAATTCTATTTATTTAAAAAATTTTATGAATTTTCTAAAATAGAACTTTCTTGAAATTTAAAGTTTTAGTTTTTTTAAATTTATTTATAAAATGCAATCTATTTTTAAATAGGATATGATAATTGATTTTATTTGAAATAATATTTACAAAACAGACAACACAAGAGGTAAAACATATTATAAAAATTATATTTTTAGAAAAAATCTATTTCATTGTGAAACCTTCCAAACAGATCTATCTCTCAAGTGAGGATGAATATCCTCTTTAAAAAAACTGGTAATCTGTTTTCATACAAGAGGTTTCAGACAATGTCTACAATATGATTTACCAACATTATATTTTTGGTCCAAATTAACTATATAATTTGTTAGTTAAATAATATAGTTATAACACTTTACAAAAACTTTCAAATAATTATGTTTCAGCCTTCTTATGAAAACTAATATGTTTAACGATTTGATGCTGAAAATCTGGTTAGCCATCCACTCATTGTTATTGGTGAAAAAGGCAACGATGGATATTGTAATACTATAATATATATATAATATATATAATATACATCGACATTGAATTATAGGAATATTATATATTTTGAAAATAATATTAACTGTATATAATATAAATAAAGGAGCCCTAAACAAATTTTTTAATAAATAAGGATGGTGTAGCTTGTTTTATTAATTAGACTCTTGTAAACGAAAAAAAATTTTGTAATTTAAAATAAAAATATTTTCTATATTTTATATTTTAGACTGAAATATGTGAATTTACAAGAAAATAATTTCATCAATCAATACTTATAATGTTAAATATTACTTTTAGTTAAGGAGTTAACTCATCTCATCTCCCTTTTTTTTTGATTCAACAAAATATTTATACAGTGCTTTTAATTCAAGTAACGGCAAATCTTTGGCCATGATAATAATAAAATTTGGGTATATATGTAGACGTAAAATATGGTTCCAATTTCAATTAGATTGATAAATAATTAACTATTTTTATATATAGCAAGTGACTGAGACATGCCCCTTTTCCGTATACCCGGTTTTCAAAGTGGATGTTCGCGGAAGAATTATTAAAAGGGTATTGAAATTTTAAATAAATTAAGAAAATGGAAATTATATTTCATCTCTTTGTTTATAAATTTTTAAACTTTCGCATTTTTAATAGTTGGTTTAAATATGATAAATAATTATGTCTTATACTTAATAGGTTGTTATCTGTTTCGTTCTCTAGTGCTGATATAATGGCATATCCTGACTAAAATTTTTGGTTTCAAAGTTAATCCAGTTTCTGTTTTTTTTATATATTTACATTTACACTCATAATGTAATTAGCCCTATATTGCTAAGACATGCTTAAAATGTAATGTAGGAAAGTTATCAAACATATTTTTTTTTTAAATTGTTGATGTGTAGTAAATTATAAATTTAATTTAATAAAACAAATTTATATGAAATTAATTAACAATATAAAATCATTACTTTATCAAACACAAAAAACATGCAATGTTCATAATTTCAATTTTTCCTCCATTGGTAATTTGATAGTTATATATTTAAAAAAAAACTGAATAATATATTTGCACAGAAAAAATATGATTTGCATAAACAGTCGTTATAATTAAAATCTGCTAGCAATAAAAAAACTTAATACTCTTATAATCCCCTCTCATAAGTAATTCCTTATAATCTTGCTCTTTACGATTCCATAATGTAACATCCTGTTTATTTGTTCCCTCACTGCAAATCTTTGTTTTACTGTTGGTTCGGGCACTATTACAACTTGTAAAAAGGTATAGGGTGTTCTCCACAAGCCCAACATCTCATCATCGGGCATCAGTTATAACCGTCTCCGTTTACCAAATCACTTGTTGTTTTCAATTGTCTCCACTCTTTCTTCTCCACCATATAACCGGGCAGCTTATTCTCTGACGGTCTCTCTATGATCGAACTGAATCATTACATACCATTTCCATTTTGACCATATGGTTTCCCATCCTAAGAACATATTTTTCCAGATTTCGTCTAATAGTATCGTACTAAAAAACGATATGATCTTCATTTTCATCTATATTCCAATTATCTTTAGTGATCATAAATAATTTTATAACTTATTCTTCATGAAATTTTTTATTAAATTATCAGAATTTGATTTCTAAGTCTATCAAAACTTCTTTTAATTCTTCTTACATTTAAATATTCTGTATTTTCATAAATTATCAGCTTAATAAAACTATAACAGAAACTTTCTTTAATCTTATTTATTATGAAATCCGACTCCTTGAATTTTAATATCAATTATTCATTTGCATTCTAAATCTTTTCTCTCTTCTTCCTTTCGTTAAAAAAATATATACTTATAGCAATCTCTTTGTTTAGCACAAGTATTTCTTCATTAGCAGAGAGATCTCTCAAGCAAGATTTTTATCAAACCATTCTTCTCAAAAAAACCTAGAGTTGTTAAACCTTACTTTTAAAAGTAGCGCGCTACCGCTATCGCTATTTGTCATAAAATGTAGCACGCTATCTCTATCGCTACCCATCAAAAAAAGTAGCGCGCTATTACTATTTTTTTTCAATAGCTTTGGCTATATAAAAAAATTTATGTAAAAAGACTATAATTTATGCAATAAAAATTATTATTTATAATCATTTCTATACTATCGTTCCCAAATCTAGAGTGACGATCAGAAAGTATAAATTTCTCCTAACTAAGTAATCTCTAAACACTAGCACTTGAGGGCAAGGCAGTATTTATATATATGTATTTTTTTTTAATATAAAAAAAATTATAATGCGTCTAGGATTTTCTATTATATTAGTATCCTTTATTTCAAAAAAATTATCAGTGAACGTCGTTTTTGTAATTGTAACTAGAGCATTTTTGTTTGGTATGAGATTATTCAGCTTTACCATGAGCCGATAACGTTGATTTTTAGCACAATAGGAATTTATATATGGCCAGTTTAGTTTAAAATTGGGATGAATTATAAATTTTATTTGCAAGTACATAATATGTCCAGCATCGTATTATCCGTTTAAGGGCTAATGCTACAGATCCTTTTGTGAGTCTTAGAGTCTAGCCAATGGCCTGTGATTCTCTAGCTCAAATATTAATAACGCATCAATTTATAAATTTAAATAAGTTTTTATCTTTTGTCATCTGTCCAAATATCTGCCATGGTATTAAGATATCTCTGACAACTCTGCTATAGAGCAGTGGCGTAGCCAGAATTTTATCATGGGGGGGGGGGAGGTTCGCCCCCCAAACCTCCATTTTTTTGAACACTTAATTGCTTATATTTTTGGATTTGTTAAAATTGTTTTATATTTTCATATAACAAAATTTTAGGGTATTTTATTATATATTTTACATTCCATTATTTAATCATGTATATATTTTTATTAATTAAAATATTTTCAAAATGTTGATATTTTATATAATACAGATTTTAATATTAAACATTATAATGTATAAAGACTCTATTCACAAAGTAACTTATCATATGAACCTACTAAATCATCAGCATAAAACTCTGAGATTTTTTTAATATCCTATTGTATTTCAAGTGTAATTAACAGTTTAGACTAAACCGGCAAAAGAAAATAAAAGCTTTTTAAAATATAATTATGACTAATAAATCTTTCTTTTAATTGAAATAAAAATGTATCAATAAGGGGAATAAAAATGTTTATTTTATAAAAATTCTCAATAGTTGATGCATCAATATTTGATCGATTGGATTGTCTAGAGACTACTCTAGGTTTAAAAATTTCAATTCCAAACATATTAGCAATCTCCTTTACTTTTTCATATATTTCATGAAATTTTTCATCCACATTCTCTCTGATGTTTGTTAATATTTCAACAATATCCTTTGCTCTATTCATAATCTCACTTAAATCCAAATCAATTTTTTGTAGCATTTTGCTAAAATCATATGTATAATTAAATAAAAAAATAAACACATTGAATTGAAATTAAAAACTGTGTTTAATAATAGCCTGCAAAAGATTTTCGGCATCTGCTGAATCTTTTTCCTTGCTTGATATATAAAATTTTAGTGCTGCAAAGACAATATCATATAGTTCAATAAAGAGTTTCACCGACTCTTGTCTTTAGATGAATCTGGTCGGACAAATTCTTTTTAGTTTTTTTTTTGATTTTTTGGTCAATATCCTGATACGTTTGAATAAATAAATCCCTTTTTCTGGGTGGTGTGAAATAGCTGCAAACCAAAAATAAATATAAAAATAATCAAATGTGTATATCTATTATTATTTATAATGAATTTAAAACATAAAAATCAAGCGTTTATTAAGAATTTATTAAATTAAAATTTAAAAAAAAAAATTTTTTTTTCATTTTTTATGGAAGGGGGGGGGGGTGAACCCCCACTCCCATGCCTACGCCACTGTATTAAAGCATCTTTCATCACTTCAAAGTTATCTGTTATCTTAATCATTAGTGTTTGGTGTCATAAATAGGGGAAAGAGTTTTCATCATCATGATAAATGATGGATTATCAATGAAGTACATTGGCTAAGCTGTATCAATTATAAAATCTACAATGATTATATCAGCCAGTATCTGAGAAATATTAGAATCTATTATTAATCAATTTAGCTTGAATTTTATTGATCTTTTTGGATGCAGTCTCCCCTATACTAAAATTATTACGATGTCTTTCTATCTCTTTAAAACTGTTGGTATGAACCTTCTTATAAAATAAATACCATTAGAATTTAAAAATGACAATTATCATTAGGTATTTTTTGAAATTATAGTTACTAGATTTATTTGAGGATATATTTTTTTTACATATTAAACAAAATTTGCAGGCACCTATTGTTTTTATATTAATTTGAAAATATTTTTCAAATTTTAGAAATGGAAAAGTGTATTATTGTTATCAAGAACATTTTCTTCCAGGGTACCTTCCATTTCATTAATATCATCATTGTTTGACTCACTTACATCGATTTGAATATCCATTTGCGATAACATTTTAAATAATTTAAGCCAGATGATTTTATAATACAAATATAAAATATAAATATAATTTCAAAATTAAATAATAAATAATAAATCATAAAATTATAATTAATTGTGGTGTGTAGGTTTTTTTTGTAAAAATTATCTAATAATCTCTAGAATGTTGTCATGCTTTGGATTAATAAAGTAAAGATTTTAAATTTGTTAATTATAATTTCATAAAAAAAATTTTTTTTTATTAAATTAAGTTTAAACAACACAATATAGTACATATCAATTTTTAAAAGTAAGAGAAATATACCTAATTTAATCCATGTTTTAAAAATATTTTAGTAATGATAAAAAAATTAAATTTAACTATTGCAAAAATACCTATAAAAGATTAAAGGTACATAAATATGTTAATTTTAATCATATAGAGAATTTAATTCACACGAATTAAAAAGTATAAAACTTTTCCCCCAAACTTGTGTTCGAATGAGCAATATGCATTAACTAGTCAATTAAAAATTAATTCTTGCCTACCCATTTATGAAACTCGTTTTGATTATACAAAGTCAAAAGGCATGGAATACACTTATGCTTATTTTTTCTGTGTATTTAATAGTTTATTATGAAATATGATGCAAATCTGCGCACTAAAATAATTAAAAAAATATATGTCTTTTATTATAAAGCACAATAAATTCTGATCATATATATTTATAAGAATAAACTTATTTTATATTTCGAACAAATATTAGCAAATTTCGGACCGTTCCAGCAACATAAGGAAACGAAGCCTCGATGACTCCATAAAGCCACGTAATTAATGATTTTATTATCATTTTTTTTTATTATCGTTGCCTTCGATTCCAGTTTTTTTAAAATCCCTCTCTTACTTCATTACTTTATCAACTAACTAAATTCAAAAACTCTTTACTTTATAAACTAAAGCCAAAATAATTTGCGTGAACGAGAGATTGGTAGCTATAGTAGAAACCCCCAAAAACAGGCGTTGTAGGGTTAGATGCAACGATTGTACATTTGACTCCGGACCAAATTTGCCGCTCGGTTCGCCTATAAGTTGCCATATAGGAATAAATCAATGTGGAACAATATTCGTACACATTATTTTTATATTATGAAAATGTATAAAGTGACTATCGTGTAAGAAGGAAAAATAAGGAAGGCCAGAAAATAGAATTGAAGGGAGGAAAATATAAAAGCTTTATTGAAATGGCGAATGGGAAGTCATCATTATAATCTCCCGCTATGTGAATTGTAAATTATGAAGATCCATTATTAAATAATTTTGTTTTAACTATTAAGATTTATTTATATGGGAATGCATTTAATAAGCAGCATCTAAAAATATTTTATTTTCATATGTTCGAATGCAATTGAGATAGTATTTAATAAACTTGTCCAAAACTTGTAAAAAAATAATATAGGAAAATGAGTGAACTGAAATCATTCTATAAGGTATTTAGCAATTTTGTAAAAAGGCCGTTTCCTTGTATTTTTCTTCCAAAAAAGCTCATTTAGTTTTGTACAAAATCATAACAACTTCAATTATTTATGAACAGAAATTAATTATAACCCTATCGATACCGTGATTGTTTTCACACCACTATAATAAATTGTGAGAAAATAAATAATAGTTTATAGGAAACCACATTCCAGTTTTATAAAGATTTAAAATTATATATTTTCAAGGTACGATAACTGGATTTTATTTTTTAATTTTAAAGAACAATGGATTTTATGAGAATGATGCGGATCTTGAAGTTATGGAAGGAGACCAAGTTATCAATACAGCTACATTTAAAATTAGTTGTCCGAGGTCTAAAATATATACTATGCCTGTAAGTTTTCAATTTATTTTATTTTTTTATCTTTTTGACTAAATTTTTCTATAAAGGCTAGAGGTAAGCAATGAGCTGATTGTGGTCCCCAAATCTCACTTTGTCGCTCATAGTTTTAGAAAATATCATGCATGCCCATTAGTTAAAAATAATGTACTTATACCTGTTCGATGTTTAAAATAATTTGATATGTTGGTAAAAGTATTATTAGAAATTATTGGGTCAACTAAAAAATATACATTATGATTTTTTTTTAAATCTATAACTTATACTGAAAAGCCTATATGAATTTCTAAACCGAAATGAACCAATATAAATTTATTAAAAGTAACGAAATAATTATAATACCGAAAGTTGACACATAACTTTTAGGTAAAATATTCTAAGACGGCAGCCCCATCCCGTAATTTTTTTTCTCTTAAAAACCGAAGCATTTCTGACCTCAAAGTGAAGAATTAATCCCTCAGCCCTCTAATCTTATCTCAGATAGTGAATTGATTTGAATATAGCAACACTTACTGGGGGTAGAGAATACTAATAATATATTCTGGGAAAATTTACATTTCTTTGTTTATTGTGTAGATTTTTTTTTATAATAAATCTTATATCAAATTTTTATTAATTTTAAATAAAACATGAATGTCATATTTTATATAATTAAAAAATTAAGAAAGTTCCAATCGAAGTAGTACGCCCACCCGAACCCATGGAAAGTAAAATATTTTTTCTCTTAAAAATAGTTTTTTTTATTTAGTAATTCTTAGTTTGAAATGCTTATACTTTCCTACATTTTTACGTCTTTTGTTTTTTGATTATTGATCAACTAACCTTATTTAGTTAACGCTTACAATGCCGGTAAAGGGAGTATGGATATAGTGCTCAAATTTCAAAAAGTTTTTACAGATAAGGTACATTTCGGGAGAAATAGTAAAGATATACGTTGCCAGAGAAATATCTTACCCAATAGTGGAATGGTAGTTATAGACAATATCCCTGAGTCCTGCGGTTTTAGAAAGGTTACTTATTACATCGTATATTATGATAAATACTCTGACTCTCCGTTAAATAATTCCTGATTTTATTTACATCGATTTGTGGTTTAATTTTAGAATGATATAAAGCACTTACTCATTCTTAAACCTACTTTGTGTCCGTTAAATTTTCTGCAAAAAAGTTCTTATAAAATAATTAATACTAGAAGAAATATTTTATTAAAAATCAACCAATAACAAATATCAACCTATCATCTCACTTGAGTATTGTATCTGACGTTTATTTTATTCTATTTTATGTCCATAAAAAATATTAGCAAGAAAATACATGACCTTCCTTAATGTCAAATACATTAACCTTGAAATATCAATTGATAACTTTAAATTAATAATTAAATATTATTTAATCTGATTATCTCCAGAGTTGTTAAAGTAGCGCGCTACTTAGCGCGCTATCTTTTTTGGTAGCTATAGCTAATAGCGGCTACTTTTTTTAAAATTATTTAATTTTTTAGCGCGCTACTTTTAAAAAATATAATGAATGTAAGTACAAGCACGAAAATTTAAGTATAATACCATAATTAATTATAATTTTTATGATTTATTATTTAATTTTGAAATTGAAATATATTTTCAATTTGTACATAATATTTTCAATTTGTATTATAAACCTAAATCACCTGTTAATAATTTAAAATGGCATTGCATATGGATATCCAAATCGTTGAAAGTGATTCAGAGTCAGACAATGATATTAATGAAATGGAAGATACCAGGGAAGAAAATAATATTCATAGCAATACTTTCCCATTCCCTAGATTTCAAAAATTTTTCAAGATAAATATTAAAACAAAAACTGGCTTCAGATTTATATGTTTATAAGTAAAAAAAATATTTCCTCAAATCAATCCAGTAGATATAACCTCTAGAAACATTTAAAGGTAAATTATCATTTTTACATAAAATAATAATATTTATTTTATAAAACTGTTCATGCTAATAGTTTTTAGAAAATTGAACAACATTTAAATAAATTTGACATAGGTGAATCTACATCCAAGACTAATTCCATTCAGACAAAATTAATTTATAATACAAATGCTAATATTTCTCAGAAATTAATTGATAATATTGTGGATTTTATAATTGATACAGTTCAGCCAAAGTCCTTGGTTGATAATCCATCATTTACTATGATGATTAAAACTTTATCACCTGGTACAACTATTTTATGTAGCCAGACACTTGTGAATAAAATAGCAGATAAGTTTAAAGTGATGAAAGATGCTTTAATAGTAGAATTATCAGAGATATTTCATATATGTACCACGGCAGATAGTTGGACACATAACAGAAGGTAAACACTTATTTATATTTATAAATTGATCTGATTAAATATTTTTGAGCTTATTTGGGAATCACAGGCCATTGGCTAGACCCAGCCCTCAAAAGGATAATAGGATGCCAGTCATACGATGTACTTCCAAATAAAATTATTGACGTGCACAAGTCTTTTAGTATTCATAATAAAGTTTGCAAGATGGTGACCGATAATGGGTCCAATTAGCTGAAGGCCTTCAGTATTATAAATTAATTTTTTAAATATTTAGAGTAATAAAATTAAATCAAGTAATAAATTATAAATTAAATTTTTCAGTATTTATTTAAAAGTTGTTTAATATTTTACATTATATATAGAATTTTTATTAACTAAATACATACATATTTTAGTAATATTATATCATAATTTATATCAAATTATAAAAAAATTAGTGAATTTAACTAATAAAATTTACAACAGAGATGGATTATTTCATTAGTTTTTATTGCAAGTGTCATTGAGCTTACATTTAATATGATATGGTTATTGAATATTTCATGGATGATTAGATTTTTACTATATTTATTTCTTATTGATTAATATCCATTAATTTATATACAGTACAGGGAATTCAATGTATTCATTTGATAAAATATTTTTACTTAGTTACATCATAATTCCTGAGGTTTAAAATTTATAATAGCAACCTAATGATTTTACCACTCCATTTTTGATAAATATCACTACACATTTCTATTAAAAACGGGATGAATAATTTATTCTATTTAATATGAATATAGAATATATGGTGAGGATAAAGCTGAAGGTGAGACACACAGATTATTTAGTAAGGCAAAACTGATACTTTCTGATCGTCGCTTTAGACTTGGGGATGATAATATTGAGATGATTTTATTATTAAAATTCAACAAATTACCATGAATATTTAAAATTTATTACATAAATTTTTTTATAATCAAAATTAACTATATTTTAATATTTATAAATGTTGATTTTTATATATTATTTACTATACAATTACATTATATGCAAAATAAAAAAAAATTGTTTTTAAATTTTTTTTATAAAAAGTAGTCTAAAAGTAGCTAAAGCTACTTTTTAAAAATAGTAGCTAATAGCGAGCTACTTTTTTTTAACGATTGCTATTGAAATTGGAGGGGTGAGTTTTGAAGACATTATCGTCATTAGAATAAACTTTTGGCAATCATATAACTGGTAATTTAAAATTTTAATTTAAATACTTTTTCCGAGTTTTATCAATTTGGTTATTACAACCTAACCTGCTCTTCGATTGTATTTTGTCAATTATTTTATAGGATGAGTTTAATTGATATATAACATGTTTTTTAATTGATTAATTGAACTTAAATTTATTATATTAAATCTTAGCCTGAATGTTTAAGGTTTGTAAAAGAAAAATTTAGGCCCAACCTGGCTCAGATTTTTAAATAAAATCATTCCCCATCCCAGAAACTGGAATCTGGGTTGGATACGATTAGGTCTCCAATATATAAATATTATAAATTATGCCTTCAATTTAAATATTCAGAAATAACTTTGATAATTTAATGTTTATCTATTTATAACAAAATTGAAAATGAATAGTATTTCTCACTTCCCGATTTTTCAAAATTCATTTTATAATTGAGAAGAATATAAGGGAAATATAACATTAAATATTTTCTTGGTCCATGGACCGATATTTTATTGATGTTATCGCCTGCCCTGATGATTCTAATAGGCATAATTGACGCTTGAGATAAATATTTTATGTATTTCATCCTATGTTTTTCTGACATAAATATAAGTATAGTATGTATAAATTTCGATCTCTTTTTTTCAAATAGCTCAAACGAGGATATGTTGAATTTAAAATTTAATTCTGGTAGATGTCAGATTTTTTGACAAAATATTTTAATATTTTTTCAATTTTAAAAGCGCAATACTTTATATTTATTTTTAAACTTACAGAATGGTAAAACCATGCGTTGTGATATGTTCCTGGGTAATCCAAAAAAGAAAAGTACGCCGTGTTACGTTTTAGAGTGTCCACAATAGAAGATTTAAATGCCTTTTTATATAGATTGCAGTTAATGTTTTTATATTTTAAAATGTATTTTGTAGTACCTTTTTTTTAATATTTTTAGAGAAAGTATAAAAGTTAATGTTTTTTCTATGAAAATTTGAAAAATTATCATTTTGGAATTATTATTTTTTTGCAAATGTAATAATTTACTTATTGTGGATTAATGATTATAACGTTTTAACAAAGATTTTTTAATATATGAACTGAATAAAAAATGTTTGTTATATTATGTTCGTTGTAATATTTTTATATTTTTCAAGCTCAAAAATATTAACTTATGCCGGAAGTGGAATTGGTTAATTGAACTAAATTTGAGTCTTTTTTATAAGCAAGAGACTCATCTTAGCAGAATATGCTTAGCCTACGATCCAAGAGATCACTGACTAAATGATGAGAGATAACCGTCCCTCCAATTCCTGTATTAATTTGAATGTTCTATGGGGTCCAATAAATATCAAAAGGCTTTCAAAAAAAATAGTTACAAAATGGCTTTCCATTTATATTACAAAATTATTATTCAATAAAGGGCTTCGTCAGTTGTCACGAGCTTCGTTAACTTGAGGGTTAAAAAAAATTATGTTTTTTTGAGATTAGCAAAAATAGAAATTCTATATTAGCAAAAAAGGGATATCCATATAGAAAGCTAAAAATTTATTAAAATTTTTTGAGGATCTATTTTTTAGCTAGAAATAACTCAAAACCTAGATCCTGAACCAGAATTGGGTAGTAATTGCTGGCTTACATTAAAACAAATGTTTTATAATTAGTAGTGATGTAGATATTTCTAAAAGAATCGAATTGAACGTGTTCACCATGTTCACGTTCGTTCAAAACTTTTTTTAAAAATTTAATATAAATAAAATATATATATTTTTTAAGACAATTTATTAGCAATATTTAAAATTAATATTTTAAGTGAATAAAAAATATTTTTATTTATTAAAAAAATTTCTTATTAATTATTAATATATAAAAACTTATATATCATATAAATCTAATAATTTCTAAAATTTATAAATTTATATTACTTTAAATTGTGTTCAACTATTAAAATATAAAACACTTGATAAAAATAAAAACAAATTTCAAATAATCATACTAAAATAAATAAATTCTAAAAGATAGCAAATCTTTTATATCTATATATGATGATTTTTTACTTTATGTATCTAATCTATAATCATAATAATTTATAAGCCTAAGAAATACAAAATCTAAAATAAATTATTATATTATAAAATATTACAATAAAGTATCTCTTTAAATTACTTGAAGATTTTAAAACTTGATATTATATTTTTTGGATACATTTTGCATTTGGCAAGGATAGAATTGATTTATTGAATATTTGATGTTAGCAAGGTATATATAATATATGGGCCATGATAATATTAATTCAGAATCAGATGATGATGAAATAACATCATGCTTAAGCTAATATATAACTACAAAAATACGAATCGAATAATTCATTATTCCTATTCGTACGAATAATAAAATGATTATTCGATTCAATTATTTTATTTAACCATAAATTAAAAAAGATCGAATATTAAATTTATTTTGTAAAATTTAACTACGGATAAAAGACAAACAAATTTTATTAGTTAGATAAAGTAGAAGCATACATATATAGCATATTTATATATAATGTAGAAAAATCAATATAATATTTATATCATATAGAAGACAAATTTGACAACAAACATTTTTTAAACACAAAGTTTTCCGCATTGTATTCTCTTTTAACGACATTCTATATTTGGTAACCATATGCACTCCAACAGAAAAGAGTCGCTCACATGGGGTTGACGATCCTTGTATTGAAAATAGGTCTCTCGCCATTTTAGATAAAACGGGAAAACAATCTCTGTATAGTTACCACCATTCTAGTGGGTCTTTATTAGACGTAATTTTCGCTAATATTCAACTTCAGAAATTGGCAAGACATTTTGTTTAAAAATTACCTCCATGATTGATTGTATTAATGGTTGACTGGTTGATACATCATATTTTATTTTATAATTATCGAACATTTTCTTAAAATTATTTAATATAGTTGTAACTTTGATATTATAAGACAGGGTAGGTACTCAAAAAATTACAATTTAAGTCTGGGATCTAATATAGCATAATGGTTTCCAAATTTTTAAAATATAATAGGATACTAATTTTTGTTGAGCATTAATTGCGTTTATGAGTGAATTATCAAAGAGACTTAAGTGTTCTATTAATGAAATGGGATGAACAGATTAACGGTAGGATAACCCTGAATTCATAGTGGCGCGATTGCGATTTAGACGCGATAAATACAAAACACAGTAAATATCATATCGCATTCATAGTTACCGATCGCGCGATTTGAATCGCGAAAGCAATACGCCGCGATTTTTTGAAAACACAAATCATTTTGGGATCGGTTCTAAATCGCTAAACGAAAAAGGGATCGGTTCTAAATCGCTAAGCGAAAAATCGCTAAAAAATGGGATGTTCCCAATTTTGTTACCAGTGAAAATCCCAAAGATGGCTATTAGTGTTTTATTTAAAAAATAAAGATTCAAACTGTAGCAGAAAACATAAATAATTTACTTAAACTTAGGAAATTAGATATTAAAGTATGTATAATTTATAGATATGAAAATTTTATTTACATTTAAAAATTTTTTTAGAAAACAATAAAAAATAAAGACTACATAGAATATTTGGGATATCAGTATTTACAGCACAAATCTGGTAAAAGTGCCATATATTACTATTGTCGCAAAAGATGTGGTGGGAGAACAAAACTCACCATTAATTGTGACTTTAGTATAACTAAATGTCATTTAGACACTTGTAAACCAATTCAAAGTAAAACTTAATATTATTATATTTAGATGTTTCACCTTTATCATCAAACATTATCTTAGAACAACTGAGTTCAAATTTTCAAGGTAAAAATATTTTATCACATAATTATAAAACAATAAACTCAAAATCATATAGATGTATCTCAAATATCTTCTCAATCTTATGGAGAATCTTTGGCCCTCTCAAATCCAAGTTAAAAATTATAAATAATATTAATTAACTATAAATTAAATAGATGTATCTCAAATATCTTCTCAATCTCATGGAGAATCCTTGACCCTCTCAAATCCAAGTTAAAAATTATAAATCATATTAAATAACTATAAATTAAATAGATGTATCTCAAATATCTTCTCAATCTCATGGAGAATCCTTGACCCTCTCAAATCCAAGTTAAAAATTATAAATCATATTAATTAACTATAAATTAAATAGATGTATCTCAAATATTTTCTCAATCTCATGGAGAATCCTTGACCCTCTCAAATCCAAGTTAAAAATTATAAATCATATTAATTAACTATAAATTAAATAGATGTATCTCAAATATTTTCTCAATCTCATGGAGAATCCTTGACCCTCTCAAATCCAAGTTAAAAATTATAAATAATCTTAAATAAATATTATAATTTTAGGTACAACATATTATATAACCATTATCAAAACACAAATTTTAAAATAGGTATTTAAAAATTAGATTGCAAATCTTATATTGCTGATAAGTTTCAGCAGATAGTTTTAATTTAGTTTAAGTTAATTAAAATTATTATTTATATATTTATAAAAGGAAGGAGTCATATATTGAGCTATTTCAAATAATCGTGGAATATGGGACATTGAATGGTATCCAGTTTTTACCAGACATGGCACAAACCGTCTATGACGCAGGAGCGATATCTGCTCTACAATTTGTATTTCCCAATATTTTAGTAAAGAGTAAAGTTTAAATTATATATAGTTGTAACATAATTTATTTTTAGGCTGCTTCTTCCATTTTACGCAGGCCATTTGGCGTAAAGTTAAGCATTTAGGCCTAGTCAAGCAGTATAAAGAAGAGACTGCGGTTTACACTATTGTTCGAAGGATGAGTGTACTACCTTTATGCAAGAGAGAGGACATTCAAGTGGTCCGTGATTCTTGTGTAGATCTAGCAGCCAATGACCCGTTAATATTAAGTTTCTTAATATATATGGATACTACCTGTATAAATTCTGATGCAATCTTTCCTCATCAAATTTGGACCAGGTAATTATTTCATTTTTATTAATTCCTCACAATTTATATAAAGGTTTATAATATTTTTAACATTTAATACATTGTTTGGTATTAGGTATAAGATTCAAGGTCCTCGCAGTAATAATCATCTCGAAGGATATCACCATTCCCTCAAGCGAATGGCAAAAAATGCTCATCCGGACATATATTCATTAATTCGCGTTTTAAAAGATAACCAACGCCTGACAGAACTTAAAGTTATACAAATCAATAACGGGAAAATAGTTACGGAGAAAAATAAAAAATATGTGATAATTAATAAAAAAAATTGTAAACTTAACAGCATTATATGATATTACTTCTAATTTATTTTTTTTTTAATGATAAAGTGTCTGATTTAATAAAATCATATTAAATATATGTTATTAAATTTAAAATAGTTGTAGATATATTGTTAATAAAAAATTTAATATAAAATTGACAAAAGAGACCAATATACTTGGTGTTTCGATTGAAATGATACTTTATTTTACTTATTCATAACTTTGTAAATTTTTTGTTTACATGACAGGATTTTCACTGGATGTAGATATCCATCATAAATCTATATACCCCCTCCCCCTAAAAAAAATTCGCAAATAAAAGAATACTCCCTCTATAGCTTCTCTACTATCATCTCGCTAAATATTATTAATATAAAAAAGTTACTTTTTAAAACATGAATTCATTTAATAAAATCCATTATAAACAATAATGCATTATTATAATATATATTTTGGCATGATTTTGAGTTCACTGTTAGAATGCCTGATAGCACATAATTATCCATAAATAAATTCCTTTTGAAAATAATGAATATGATTAGGTGTAAGATATAAATTTGATCATTGTGTTGACAACATAGTAGGGTTTTACTATATTTTTAGTCGAAAAATGTCACCTTGGCCTCGGGGTTTTTCTTAAAAAGTTAGCAACTTTAATTTAGATGAAATATAAATTAGATCATTTTAATATTCATATATTTATCCGAAGGGCTGCTTAGGAATATACCATATAAGTCGAAATTTATGAAAGTATTAATTTATAATAAACCCAATGTCATTTATAATTTATATAAAAAAATCTATGGTAAAAAGAATATATATTATAGTAAGTTAATAGTTTATGGAAAATTTTATAAAATTCATAGGCAATAATATGCTTTACATTTTCTGTAAAATCAGATTTTTGAATTTCAAAAGAGTTCAAAGTTATTCCGGAAAAAATACAATGCGGTATATTTTACAAAAAAATTATATTATCTTTTTTAGTTTAGTTAACTTTTTTTTTATAAGTGCTAAATTATTTATAATTATATTATCATTAGGATATATATTTTTATTAAGTATTTTAACTATTAAAGAAATTTTTAAATGATATTTAAAATAATTACTAAATTTGTAATAATATAATTTGTAAGATATATATTTGTATTAAGTATTTAATATAACTATTGATGGAATTTTTATTGTCATTTAAAATATTTATTAAATTTGTAAAACGCTTGCTTAATTATAATTTGTAATTATATACTTAAATTTATTATAATTTCACCCATATAATATATTTGTATTAAGTATTTAATATAACTGTAATATAAATGTAATTGTAAATTGAATTTAAATTGAATATAATATTTACTTTTCGTTTGTAAATTACATAACCTGAAGGATTGAATTCATTATATATATATACGTGATATTTTGTATTAAATATACTTTTACTTACTTTACTTATTTAATAAAACACTTCATTGGCGACGATTTTTTTAGAGAAGATTTATTTGATTTATTAAATTTAAAGTAAAAGTCAATGGAAGTAGCTCCTATTAAAGTTGAAGATTCAATGGAAGTAGTTCCTATTAAAGTTGAAGACTCAATGGAAGTAGTTCCTATTAAATTCCATATTCCAGAATTCGTCAAAGAAAAAATAAATATTCAGGACTACTTATTTAACTTGGAGTTAATTTATAAAGTAAGAAATATTATAGATTTAAATACAAAAAAAGACCTGCTTTTAGCCTATATCGGAACAGACAATCTTATCAAAATTAAGAACTTTCACTTTCAAATAAATTTAGAGATGATAAATTATGATACTTTAATAAAAAGCTTAAATTTGGTGTTCAATTATAGTTCGAGCATTTTCGTAAATAGGAAAAAAATTTTTACGTTAAAAAGATGCAGTGAGACGATTATTGACTTTTCAATTAGGGTTAAAACTGTCTGTTCTCTTTGTAATTTTAAACCGCCTTTTGATGAACTTTTAAGAGATATATTTATCCTAGGAGTAGGCTTACCTGAGTTGGACAAAGAACTTCGGTCAAAGTATATCGAAGGCAATATTACTTTTGAAGAGACCGTGCGTTTAGCGATCGCGCGGTCTTCGTTGGAAAATGAAACCCAGACTGAAGTTAATAAAATAACTAAAAATAAGCCAACACAGGGTTCGAAAAATAATTATTTTAGAAATAATAATTATACAAACGTCAATAGATTCAATAATAATAAACACTTTAGTAACAATTATATTCCTAATAATAATTATAGACCTAGTATCAAACCTAATTCTATTCAAAAGAAAGTGATATGCTTTCGTTGCGGTAAGGCAAACCACATAGCGGAAGATTGTAGAACCCATGCCATACAAATGATTCTGCCACGGACACCTCGCCTGTCATTTTCAAATAAAGCAACCATCGATGCGAAGATAAATGGGTTGCAGCTAGCTATGGAGTTTGATACCGGCGCCGCGTGTAGTGTGATTGATGAGGTCACCTGGAATCGTATTGGCAGACCACAACTATCACCGGCTTATAAATTAGTGGGATATAATCATATCCAAATCGAAGTACTAGGTAAATGTACCGTAGAAGTCAAAGTAAAAAATATTTCGAAATTTTTACTTATTTGGGTAGTTAAAGGGGAGAATTCCCTTATTTTTGGGATGCCTTTCATTAGAGAATTTGATATAAAACTACCGGAAGAAGTTCGTATTAATAAAATAAATATGAATGTTCCCTCTTTAAATACGATTGCTTCAAAATTCCCTCAAGTTTTTAAAAAAAATTAGGTGAAATCAAACTGCAAAAGGCAGTCATCCGAATAGAACCGAACACGTTACCGATTGCATTACCAGCAAGAAGAGTTCCTTTTCCGTTGCGTCGAACCATTGAAGCAGAGTTGGATAGACTTTTAGACGAAGGCGTTATCGAGAAGGTGGATCCAACAATAACTCCAATCACTTGGGCTACGCCAACGGTTAATATCTTAAAGAAATCCGGTGCCGTGCGGATATGCGGAGATTTTCGTTTAACAATCAACAAATATCTAGCGATCGATAACGATTTACTACCAACTTTCGTCGACCTAACAAATAAAATCGCGGGTGGTAAAATATTTTTAACAATAGATTTAAGAGATGCATTTTTACAATTCGGAGTTAGTCCAGACTGTAGGGACCTTTTAGTAATTTCGACACATGTCGGTTATTACCGATACCAAAGAATTCCATTTGGTTTGACTAGCGCTCCGATAATATTCCAACGCTTTATGAAAAACCTATTAAAGGGAATTCCTATGGTTAGTGTATTTTTAGACGACATAATTATTGCAGGTGAGAATAATTCCGATCACATAGTTAATTTGGAAGAAGTATTAAGAAGATTTGAGAAGGCTGGACTGACCACGACGACTGATAAAATTAAAATCGGAGAAAAGTCAGTCACTTATTTAGGTCATGTTATTGACAGTTTCGGAATTCACCCTACAGAAGATAAGATTAGCGCTATAAAAAATTTTAAAACACCTTCCAATGTTAAAGAACTACGTTCATTTCTTGGAATAGTGAATTATCATGAGGCATTTATTAAAACTTTGCATTCTATTTGTGCGCCTTTACATCGACTAACGAGTAAAAATGTTGGTTGGTTTTGGTCAGCTAAAGAAAATATTTACTAAAGTTAAAAATATATTGTCAAAAGAAGATACAATAATTCCTTATTCAGCCGATATCCCTGTCGTGATTTCTTGTGACGCTTCCGAAGATGGTCTAGGAGCTGTTATTGCACACCGATTTCTTACTGGCCAGGAGAAACCGATTGCTTACGCATCGAGGACACTTTCGGCGGCTGAAAAGAATTATGAAAGGACAGCAGGGTGGCATGAAGGAAAAGTGTTACAACGAAAAAGCGCAATATTGTACGATGTGGAATCAGAGGGGATCGTTAAAAACAAGCATGCAGATCAATTGAGGGATGCACATACACAAGAGAAGGAAATACCCGTTACGTTGACCGAAGAAGTGGAAAAGGCAGAACATGAGAATACAACTCTTGAAAAAAGAGTTTGAAACCCCCACTACGTTATCACGATGAATTCAATTTATAGTGGGGAGAACTGTAATATAAATGTAATTGTAAATTGAATTTAAATTGAATATAATATTAACTTTTCGTTTGTAAATTACATAACCTGAAGGATTGAATTCATTATATATATATACATGATATTTTGTATTAAATATACTTTTACTTACTTTACTTATTTTACTTATTTAATAAAACATTTCAATAACTATTGATGAAATTTTTTATTGTCATTTAAAATATTTATTGTCATTTAAAATATTTATTGTCATTTAAAATATTTATTAAATTTGTAAAACGCTTGCTTAATTATATAATTTGTAATTATATACTAAAATTTATCATAATTTCACCCATATAATATATTTGTATTAAGTATTTAATATAACTATTGATGAAATTTTTTATTGTCATTTAAAATATTTATTAAATTTGTAAAACGCTTGCTTAATTATATAATTTGTAATTATATACTAAAATTTATCATAATTTCACCCATTGATATATATTTGTTTGTTAATTTATTTTTCTAGTGGTATTTAATTTTTTATTATTTTTAGCGATTATTACTTTTAGCGATTTAGAACAGGAACCATCATTTTGTGTTTATGGTTCCCACACGAAATCGCCAAGTTCAAAATAGCCAAATATTTTTGTACGTAATTTAAAACACCACAAGTAATATAATATTTCCTATATAATAAAATACAAATATATAATATAGTGTAATATAATATAAAATATATAATAATAATATAATACTAATACTAATAATATAAAATAATAATATAAATTAATAATATAAACTAATAATGTAATACACTATAATACTAAAATAATGTATTATTATAATGTGTAATAATATAATATAAAATATACAATAATAATATAAAACCAATATAATATAATACCAATAAAATATAATACCAATATAATATAATACCAATATAATATAATACCAATATAATATAATACCAATATAATATAATACCAATATAATATAATACCAATATAATATAATACCAATATAATATAATACCAATATAATATAATACCAATATAATATAATACCAATATAATATAATACCAATATAATATAATACCAATATAATATAATACCAATATAATATAATACCAATATAATATAATACCAATATAATATAATACCAATATAATATAATACCAATATAATATAATACCAATATAATATAATACCAATATAATATAATACCAATATAATATAATACCAATATAATATAATACCAATATAATATAATACCAATATAATATAATACCAATATAATATAATACCAATATAATATAATACCAATATAATATAATACCAATATAATATAATACCAATATAATATAATACCAATATAATATAATACCAATATAATATAATACCAATATAATATAATACCAATATAATATAATACCAATATAATATAATACCAATATAATATAATACCAATATAATATAATACCAATATAATATAATACCAATATAATATAATACCAATATAATATAATACCAATATAATATAATACCAATATAATATAATACCAATATAATATAATACCAATATAATATAATACCAATATAATATAATACCAATATAATATAATACCAATATAATATAATACCAATATAATATAATACCAATATAATATAATACCAATATAATATAATACCAATATAATATAATACCAATATAATATAATACCAATATAATATAATACCAATATAATATAATACCAATATAATATAATACCAATATAATATAATACCAATATAATATAATACCAATATAATATAATACCAATATAATATAATACCAATATAATATAATACCAATATAATATAATACCAATATAATATAATACCAATATAATATAATACCAATATAATATAATACCAATATAATATAATACCAATATAATATAATACCAATATAATATAATACCAATATAATATAATACCAATATAATATAATACCAATATAATATAATACCAATATAATATAATACCAATATAATATAATACCAATATAATATAATACCAATATAATATAATACCAATATAATATAATACCAATATAATATAATACCAATATAATATAATACCAATATAATATAATACCAATATAATATAATACCAATATAATATAATACCAATATAATATAATACCAATATAATATAATACCAATATAATATAATACCAATATAATATAATACCAATATAATATAATACCAATATAATATAATACCAATATAATATAATACCAATATAATATAATACCAATATAATATAATACCAATATAATATAATACCAATATAATATAATACCAATATAATATAATACCAATATAATATAATACCAATATAATATAATACCAATATAATATAATACCAATATAATATAATACCAATATAATATAATACCAATATAATATAATACCAATATAATATAATACCAATATAATATAATACCAATATAATATAATACCAATATAATATAATACCAATATAATATAATACCAATATAATATAATACCAATATAATATAATACCAATATAATATAATACCAATATAATATAATACCAATATAATATAATACCAATATAATATAATACCAATATAATATAATACCAATATAATATAATACCAATATAATATAATACCAATATAATATAATACCAATATAATATAATACCATATATATAATATCAATACCATTATGTGTAATATAATATAAAATATATAATAATAATAATATAATACAAATATAATATAATACAAATATAATATAATACAAATATAATATAATACAAATATAATATAATACCAATATCATAAGGTGTATTATAATATAATACCAATATAATATAATCATAGGCGTAGCCAGGATTTTCATTAAGCCTGGAACAAATATGAAATATATTTTTATTAGTTTATATAAAATAATATAATAAATTACTTTTATTGTATATACCTTAATATAAAAGCATTGTAATAATTTATTCCAAACAATTATAAGAAATTTATTTATAAAAAGTAAGTAGACATAAAGTTGATTTTACTCTATTATATAGATTTAGTTATAAAATACTAGGTAAAATTCCACTTTTACAGACATATTTGACAGTTAGAGAATATATTACAGTTAATAATTTAACAAATTTTATCAATGCTCTTGATATTAAATATAGCAAAAATTTGCATTCAATTATTTAAAGCCATCTATTTATTTTAAGTAAAAATGATATTTAAATTTAATCTTTATAATATTCATCCCACAATGTCTTTAAAATATATTTTCTGATGTCCTTATCAATGTTTAATAGTTTTCTGTAAAATATATAATTCGCTATATTGGTAAAATTTACTTAATTGTCATTTGATAATTAGATATACTGTAAATCTACGACATATAATATTCCACTGTTTGTATTGTGCTTTAATATTTTTTTAATTTACGATTTAATTTTATCAATAGTTTTATAATTATATTTTACTTTTATTAAGATATATAAATTAAAATTACACAACTTTATAAAAAATTATATTTGATATATTATATTAATTAGTATTTTTATGGATCTATTATTAATAATTATAATACATTTCACTTCTGTCTTAAGACTCATCTTTGGCTTATATTACATTTATTAAAAAACATTTTTGGTTCATTTTATATATTTATAAATGTATTTTCCCAAAAATCTATATATGATGAATAGTTTTATAAAAAAAAATATCAACTTTTACATTCTTTCTTTTAAATTATTATTTAAGATATATGCATACATATTTGAGGGTCAGGAAGTGGGGGGGGAGGACTAAGGGGGATATATTTTATTAGCTAAAAATGATATTTACAAAGATAAATTTCTGAAGGGGGGGGGATTTCCCCTTTCCCCCCCCCCACCTGCTACGCCTATGTTTTCGGATTATAAATATAATAAAAAACAAAAGTACAATTTCATATATACGTATATCTTTTGTAAAAATAAAAAGTATTAATAAAGTACAATTTCATATATACGTATATCTTTCTAAAAATATAAAAAAGTATTAATATTTATTATATTTTCGGATTTAATAAATATAATAAAAAACAAAAGTACAATTTCATATATACGTATATCTTTGTAGAAATATAAAAAAGTATTAATATTTATTATATTTTCGGATTATAAATATAATAAAAAACAAAAGTACAATTTCATATATACGTATATCTAGTGTTGTTAAAAAGTCGAGTTCTTACGACTTGCCACTCGAGTCGTAGTCGTAAAAAACGGCTCCGACTCAAGCCGATCAAGGAGCCGCATTAGTCGGCTCACTTAGTCGGCTCACTTAGTGGGCTCAGAGGGTAGCTTGAGTTTATTTTAAATTTAGAGCCAAAAATTATTTTTATGTTATTGAGAAATTTTAAATAATAATGTAGAATTTTATTTATTTATTTTTAGTAAAATAATTTATTTTATTTATATTTTATTTTATGCAAATAATATGTTTTGATTTGATTAAAATAAAAATGGATTTATTTATTTGATTTTTTTTTAAATAAAATAAAATTAATATTTTTGAGCTAAAAATTTTAAGCAATATTATATCAGCAACTATTGAAATAAAGAGAGAATTTACCCGTCAAAAAAAATATTTTTTGAAGTACAAAAATATTTTTGAAACATATTTTGCTGATTTTTTGAAGATATTTTATTCTTTTGTTTTATCATAAAATTTTATTCTTTTTTTAATTATATCATAAATAAATAATCTTTTAGGTCAAATCTTCTATAGTTTTTTTTATATTATTTTTATAAATATATCTATATTTTAAGTTTATTATTAGAGGTGGCTTTTTCTAAATATTTTTTTAATAAATCATTAACATGATACCTAATAAATATTTAAAAATATTAGAATGATTGATTACAATTATTTTAAGTTTTTATACCTTGTCCATATAGCA